AATCAGCTGAGAGGCAATCAGCCGAGAGACAGCAAGGCTGGCCCCACTCGTGCCCTCTCCCCTCGCCCCTCTCCTCACCACGCCTCGCCCCCCGCCCCCCGCCCCCTCCCCCCCTCACCGCTCTCCCCCTGGACTGCAGCCCGTCCGCACCGGCGGCCTATCCCTCCCTTCAAAGATCAATTGAGCGCCGCTCACTGACGGCTGCAGGCTGTCCGCACCGGCGACCTCGCCGCCTTCCGCGACGCGATGGCGGAGCACGCCGCAGTGTTCGCCGCGGACGGCAACGCCGCGCTCGTGCTGCGGCTGCGGCAGAACGTGATCCGCGCCGGACTCCGCAACGTGCTTGCTCCCTCCCCGACCGCAGGACGTGTCCTCTCCCGTCCCCGCACCGCGCGTCGCCGTCTTCTCCTTCTCAGGTGTCGCTGGCCTACAGCCGCATCCACCTCTCGGACGCCGCGGCGAAGCTCGCCCTCGACACGCCGGGCGACATGGAGTCGATCGCTGCGAAGGCGACGGCTCACGCACTCCTGCCCGAGACCGCCGCACGAGGCCCCAGCCCGAAGGTTGCGACGAGCTAGGCGATCCGCGACGGCGTGATCGACGCCACCATCGACCACGAGGCGGGCGTGCTCATCTCGTCGGGCAGCGCCGACACGTACTCGACCCTCGAGCCGCAGGCGCTTCAGATCAGACTCTCATTCACGCTTCCTCTTTCCACCGACATGCAGCGGGGCTTTCTTTCAGTAGCTCGCAGTGACGAGCCTTAACGAGTCTCGGCTCTTGTGACGCGCCTCAGGCCGCGTACCACAAGCGGATCACCTTTTGCCTCAACCTGCACAACGACGCCGTCAAGGCGCGAGATTCGCCGAGATTGTCCGAGCTCCCAATCTTGCTCCCCTCCCTGGCCACCCCTGCCCCTGCCCCTGCCCCGTACCGCACAGGCGATGTCGTACCCGCCCGACGCGCACAAGGGCGACCTGCCCGACGCGGACGCCATCAAGGAGCGGCAGCGCGAGGAGCAGGAGCTCGCCGAGGCGCTCGCCGAGGAGGACGAGTTCTGAGGTTGAGCTCTGGTGCCTCGCCCTGTGACACGCCCGCTCGTAAGCCGGCTGCCCCTCTCGGACGGGGGAGGCCCGTCCCCCGCCACCGGCTCGACGCCAGAGGGGGGCGAGGAGAGGTTGGACAGCGGGGTGGGCTGGGCCTCGTCCGACGCTGGGCCGGATGGCCGAAGTGGCGGCGCGAGCAGACGGTGCGGCGAGCCCGCGGGCCTCGCTGCGCAGCGCGGGATTGAGTCGCTTGGGGCCACACGCTCCGGGCGCCCGATAGGCAGCTGGGGTGCGGGAAGAAGCGTATATGCAGTCTTGCTCACTTTTTACATCAGCACACAGCAGAAGGGACACACAGCAGAGGCGCAGGCCACAAAAAATAAAAAGCCAGGACCCCCCTAAACACGACTCACGACACACGACCCTCACGAGCGTTCATAGTTCATTGTAGAATTCGGGCTTCGTTTTTGTTTTTCCATCCTTTTACCGCCCGATTCGATTGCGAATTGCGCATTGGATGGATGTGCCGCATATACGCTCATCGTCCTCGTGGTAGAACGCCACCAGCGCTGAGTGTCACAACATTTTGGACTCCGTATGCCAGAGGTGAGCACGAGTTCGCTGCGCGCGTTTTGGCGTATCGCAGTGCGCTCTACTGAGCTGCTCTGCTGCTGTTGCTTCTGCTGCTGGCTAAACTCCGCTGAATGCTGCCCAGCCTCGTGAACCCTGCGAGCCGCCAACCAGCGGGTCCGAGAGCCGCTTCACCAGCCCGCGCATCTCCGTCGCCCACGACGACGGATCGCGCAGAAAGGCCGCCCAGCCCCCTCTCCCGCCCGCCCCCTCCGCTGAGCCCGCCCCGCTCTCCTCGGCCAGTGCCGCGGCCGCGGCATCGAGCAAGTCTTGGACGCGCCAGGCGGGCGGCTCGAAAGGGCCTGCCCACCCTCCCTCGCCTCCCGCGGGGTGGGCGTCGATGTCGTCTGTGCTGACGCGGGTGATGATGTCGTCTGCGCTGAGCCTGCTCACAGCTTGAGGCGGTGAAGAGACGGGGCCGACTCGCCGCAGGCGGGGACGGACGCGCCGAGAGCCTCGAGGCGCGGCGATCCCCCTCCTCCCCTCCCGGGATCTGCTCGCCCAGGTCAAACCACAGCGCCGCTATCTCGTCGAGCACACAGTCCGGCTCGGTTGAGCCCGGCTGCAGGTCCAGCTGCAGGTCCGGCTCCTCCCCCCTCTCTCCCTCGTCGCCCGTGTCCGAGCCTGCACATACACAGGGAGCCGACTCCGGTTACCACGGGGCCACCGTGCAACCCCGCTCTCTCGCCTGGTCGTGCGCGCCCGCTGCGCCGCCCGCTGCGCCGCCCGCTGCGCCGCCCGGGCTCTCCGCCGCCACCAGCGCGGCAGACAAGCGTCCGTGGTCGATAGACAAGCGTCCGTGGTCGACGGGGCAGCCGCGAGGAATGGACAAGTCAGCCATCGGAGCGGAGGCGGCGGCCTGGGAGGCAGGGCACGTGGTAGGCGAGCCTCTTCTCCCGCTGGGCCGCTGCTCGTGCGTGTGGCACCTCGTGCTCGCGTGTGCACCCCCGCGGCTTTGCTGGGTGTGAGAGCAGCACCTTGATCCTTGTGTGGGTGGGTGGGTGGGGGGGGGGGGGAGTTGTGTGTGAGTGAGTGAGTGAGTGAGTGAGCAGTATAAGAGAGAGAGAGAGAGAGAGAGAGAGAGAGAGAGAGAGAGAGAGAGAGAGAGAGCAGTGGCCCCGGCGGGCCTCGTCCGCGGCGCAAGGAGGGACGAGCCAGTGGTCTGTCGCGAAGAGCTGCGGCGGCCGGCCTGTCTCCCACAAGGCCGGGAGGTGTGAAGATGTCTTCCACAGGCCGGGAGGTGTGAAGAGGGAGGTGTGAAGAGGCGCTCTCCGGGAGAGGGGGTCCGAGACGCGAGGGGGCAGCGGCGGCATGCGAGCACCGTTTGGCAGGCAGAACCGCTTGGCGGGGCTCACGCCGCTGTCGAGGGAGGCGGAGGCGAAGGCGAAGGCGGAGGCGGAGGCGGAGGCGGAGGTGAGCGCCTCGTCGTTCAGGTCGTTCGCAAACGGGCCTGCTCGCCGCTGAAGGTGTGAAGAGACGCCGTTCACAAGTGCCGCTCGTCCAATGCGCGGCGCCGGCACCGGCGAGGCTCTCTCTGCCTGCGATGCCTGTCGCGACCTCGCAGTGGCCTCGCCTGAGGGCGGGTCGTGGACATGTCATGGACGTGTCGGACAGGCCTGTGACAACTCGCAGACCAGCGCCCTCGCTTGGCGGGGCTGGCGAGAGTCGCGTCGTCGAGATAGTCGATGAGCTCGCTCAGCTCGGGCTCTGCTAGAAGGAGCGAGAGCTTGTGAGGAGGATGATCGCTCCGCCGCACCGCTGCGAGTACTCTTGAGTCATCGCAGTGAGGCGAGACAAGGCTAACCTGTGTACGCTCACCGCCGGGAAGGGAGGGACAAGGGAGGGAAGGGAAGCAAGGGAGGCAAGACGGGAGGGAAGGGAAGCAAGGGAGCGAGGCACGGGAGGCAAAAGAGGCAAGGCGGGGCGGGGGCTCGCTGCCTCGTCTGTCCGCGTCGGCAGGTGCTGAGGTTGCACTTGTTTCGGACTCGACGGTGGAGAGGCAGGAGACCTAAGGGGGGGGGGGTTAGAGGTGGGGGCAGGGGCAGGGTCAGGGTAGGGGGGGGGGGGGGGACAGTGGAAAGAGGCAAGGCACCCCGGGAGGAGCCGCCGCCGCCGCCGCCGCCGCCGCCGCCGAATTTTCGGCCATCTTCGAGCTGCGCATCGTGATGACCTGCTCGAGTCGAGGGCGCCCACTCTGTGAGGACCAGTCCCAGCACTGAGCTAGAGACGTTGCCCGAGGAACACCCCGAGCCATCTCCGCGTATCTTGAATCCGCACCTCTGTCACATCTCGGCTGGATCTCGGGCCGCACCTCGGCTGTGGGTCTCGGCTGGGTCTCGGCTGGGTCTCGGCTGCATCTCGGCTGGATCTCGGCTGGATCTCGCCCCGATCGAGAACTCCGAGAGGGCGGAGTCGCGCGGGCCTGGCTCTGGGCCTGGCGTCGGGCCTGGCGTCGGGGGCGGGTCGGAGGCGGAGGGGAGGGAGGCGAGGGAGGAGGCGGGCGGGTAGGCGGCGGCGGAGAGCTCGACGAGCCCGACGAAGTAGCGCCCGCCGTGCAGGATGAGGAGCGCGCCTGGGAGGGGGGGGGGGAGGGGGGGAATGGTGAGAGCAGGGCGAGCCCCAGCTGTGCGAGACACACACACACCGAGGGGCGCGACAGGTGCCACCATGTCGACCAAACTCCGCCCGTTCTACTCGCGCGCGCAGCCCGGGCTGCTCCTATGCTTCCACTACGACTGCGTCGAAGGACTGCGACTGCCGCGGCAGTCGAGGAGAGTGCTACTCCAACAAAAGAAGACGACAATGGCGGCGCGCCGCGGCAGTCGAAGAGCGCGTACGAGTGCGAGGTCCGGTCGTAGGCGCGAACAGGCTGGCGGGTGGTACCGCCGAGCACCTGGCAGAGGGGTGGCTGTTGCAGCTGTTGTCATGCACTCTTCTTTGGTGTGTGTGATTCAGGTCTGGCATGCGACCGCCGAGCACCCGGAGGGAGGGGGATTCGAATCAACTCCGTGGCGGTGGGTGTGGTGGTGGGCGGCGCGTGTTGCGCTGGTCGCCTCGTCTGGGACGCAAGAGCGGAAGAGCTCGCCTGAGAGCGAGAGAAGAGCGACACGGCAGGGTCAAGACTGGTGAGTGACGAAGGTCAGGGGCGGGAGAGAGCTCGCCCTCGCCGTGTCACTACTATACGACTGTGACTGCGACTGCGACGACACTACGACTACCGCTACCCTCCGTCTACACTACCCTACTGCTGTGCACACTACCCACTGCTACTGGCCGCTCGCCGTAGAGCCGCCGGATGAGAGGCATGTCCTACGGTACAGCGCCACCACGCCACTCGAGAGGAGCTGTACCTCGAGAGGAGGGCAGTTTCTGCGCCCAGCGCGGGCAGCGGGTGGCGAGGTGCGTGCCTCGCGGTGGACGAAGAGCGAGTTGATCTGGGGATGGGGATGATGAGGGTATCAGAACGAGGGCGCGTTGAGGTCGGGAACTCAGGGGATGGGTCAGTATGCTGAGATGCGTGTGTCAGTGTGTGTGTGAGTGATTGAGCGTGTGTGTGTGTGCGTGCGTGCGTGCGTGCGTGTGTGTGTGTGTGTGTGTGTGTGTGTGTGTGTGTGTGTGTGTGTGTGTGTGTGTGTGTGTGTGTGTGTGTGTGTGTGTGTGTCAGTGTGTGTGTGTGTGTGTGTGTGTGTGTGTGTGTGTGTGTCAGTGTGTGTGTGAGTGATTGAGCGTGTGTGTGTGTGTGTGCGTGTGTGTGTGTGTGTGTGAGTGAGTGTGTGTGTGAGAGAGAGAGAGTGTGTGAGTGTGAGTGTGTGTGTGTGTGTGTGAGTGAGTGAGTGAGCGTGGTGAGTGGTCCTCCTCTGCTGTGCGAGGTTGCCTCAAGGGCGGACGAGTCGAACGCCCTGTACATCTCCGCGGTGGTGGCGAAGGAGCGCTCGAAGGCCTGCGGGCGGCGCGAGGGGGGTGGACAGGCCCTCGGGCAGCCCTCACGTCTCTCCTCTGCTCTGCCTCGCTCGGCGGAGGAGAGGTGGTGCGCCTCGTTGGCGTGCTGCTACTGCTGCTGCTGCTACTGCTGCTACTGCCACCACACTGGGATACCACACTGGGATACCACACTGGGATACCACACTGGGAGCCTCGTTGGCGTGGAAGCTGGCCACGCCGTCGCGCCGCACGCGCACCTATTGGACGCGTCCTGGACACGTCACGCGGCCGTGTCGAGGAGCCGTCCCGCCACGCGCCGCAAACAGACGTTGACGTACGTCCCTTCCTCCGCCGCCAGCTTGCGCGCGAAGAAGGGCGGGAGCCCGTCGCCGCACCCGACAGGGGAAGGGGTTTGGCTTAGACACTCGCTCAGCACGTCGTCGAGGGGGATGTCGTGGTGACTGCGCAGAGCCGCTCGTGTCAAGAGACGCTGTTCGCAGTGTCTGTGGCTCAAGGGGCGGTGCGGCGTGCCGGCAGAGCGCCGCCACAAACTCGATCAGCTCGAAGGTGCCTCGCCGGCGGGCGGTCGTGGCTATCGCTCGCAGCACGTACCTGCGCAAAGAGCAGCAAGGGAGGGGAAGGGTGTTCGTCGCCCCAAAGCAGAGCGGTGGGCATCGCCGCCACGGGCATACGGCCATCGCGGGGCGGCGCGCGCCGAGCCGCGAGCGGCGATGCGCCCGGCGAGAGGACGTACGAGAGGGTCTCTGTCGCGGAGGAGGTTGTGGTGCCGGGGATCTGCTGCAGCGCGCGAGTCACGAGTGGACTCGGGGCGACATTGAGGAGGAGTCCGCCCCCGGCTGCGGTCTTGGCCTTGCGCGGCGCCCTCGGCTTGGGGACGGCCGACGGCGCGGGCACGCAGTCAAAGCCGAGCCGGGCACAGCGGTCGCACTTGCGGGCGATGGGGCCGTCGGGCCATTGGCCCGGGTCGAAGTTGACGCACTTGGACTTTGTGGACTTACAACGCACACAGACGCGCGTCGGCGGTGGCATCGCGGTGCTGCAAAACCTGCCGGTGCCATCTATCAGACGCTCCCCCAAAAATTGCGCGTGTTCGACGCCCACGGGTCCCGGGGGGTCGGAGGGGTTGCGAGAGGTGAGTGTGAGTGTGTCACACTGCGAGAGGGCTATTTTTTGTTTGAATTCTGGAGGCCGTTCAAACATGTAACGTGCGTTCCACGTGCCCGTCCCCAGCAAGGACAACATGCTAGCCCAGCAGGCCGCTCCCACCGCCGCCCGCGGCGGAGGCAAGGCGGCAAAGGGTGGCAAGGGCGGCGGCAAGGGCAAGGGTTGTGGCCGTGTGGCGCACCAGACCCACTTTGCGCCGCCGCCCTCAACGCCCGAGCAAAGGCGGGGACCTGTCTGTCCACTCCCCAGCCCTAGCTTGGCACAGGCGACAAAAAACAAAACAAAAACTTTTTTTCCGCGTCAGTGATCACCCCCTCGGCCTCGCCACCGCACCCCCTTTTGGCAGTGTTAAGTGCCAGTGCGCGCCAATAAATAAATAGAGCAGGCATCTCCAGGCGAGATGGGCGACGCACGAACACAGAGGCACAGCGCGCACCCCGCCCCGCTCGCAGGGCGTGCATCACACAGATTCGTGCCTTTTCTTTTGGCAGCCGGGCACTCGGTGTCATCAAGGGGACAGCGGCCACATTCCAGGGCTCGATCGATTGTGGCAGACCACCCCCTGACTGTCCAAAATGTTGTCGTGTTGGCGGGGAACTTGTTTCTCTTTTCCCGAAAGGCGCCTGATCCATCGTTAAAAAGAGACCCAGGTCCCCGCGATCTCACGTTGGCCGAGATATGCCCGCCGCGCTGAGACGGACGAGAAGGCAGTAAGAGACGGCTGTGAGACGGAAGTGAGACGGAGTGATGGGCCTGAGACTTCTTGCGATCTATTGAGACACGCTGAGACGCTGAGAGTGAGACAGGGTGACAGGGACGAATTCACGTGAGACTGAGACGAATCAACGTGATGCCCAGACGTCCTTCCGGTGCCCTCAGACGCTCCCATAAAAAAATGAAAGAGGGGTGCGCGTGGCGGGTGGCGGTGTGCTGCGCTTGAAGCCTTGAAGTCACGAAGGCGCCGATGTGAAGGCGCCGATGTGAAGGCGCCGATGTGAAGGCGTCGATGTGAAGGCGCCGATGTTTAACACACCTCGCTTCCCCGGGTACAGACCCATGGTCCGCCGCGGTCTCACGTTGGCCGAGGCACATCGAATGGCTCGGAAGGAGGGCACAGCGCTGGTCCTCAGCCCCACGAACGCGACAGGCTTCAAGTGCGTGGAGTATGAGGTTTTGAGGAAGCGGTTCCGCGTGCGGGTGACTATCGACAAGCGGAAAACGGCTACACTCGGTCGCTTCGACACGGCTCACGAGGCGGCGCTCCACTACGCCCGATCAAAGTATGGCCGCGCGAACGCGACAAAGCAGACAAAAACGAAGTCAAAGCAGACGCAGCGGGAACGCCCTCTCACCGCCACCGCCAAGGCCGCCCCCCCTTGCCCCACCACTTTGTGTGTGTGGAGAAATTTACCTTACCTTACCTTACCTTACCTTAGGCTGTCCGGCAGGCAAGCGATGACGGCCTCCTGCTCATCCGGAGCACGAGCGCGAGCGGCTTCAAGGGCGTGTACGTCGACACGCGCTCAGGCGGTTTTGTGGCGTCTGGGGTAGCTTCGGGGAGGCGCGTCCACCTTGGGACCTTCAAAATCGCCCACGAGGCCGCCCTCGCGTATGCCCGCTTCGAGGCGGCGATGGAGTCGGAGTCGGAGTTGGTCGACGACGCATCAGAGTTTGCCGTGGGCGATCGCGTTCGCGTCTTGTTCATCAAACCGCCACGCTTCTACCCGGGAAAGGTCGCCGCGGTGGAGTCCAAGTTCGTCTACCGGATTCATTTCGACGATGGCGATGTCTTCAACGTGGACTGCCGGAAGCTGGTGATCGAGGACGGCGCGGAGGACATGGTGGAGGATGGGGAGGAGGGCGGTGGCGAAGAGGGGGTGGAGGTCGAGTCGCAGCGGCAGCGGCAGCGGCGCGAAAGGATCGAGCGTCGCACGGCCGCACAGCAGGCGACTGAGCAGATGGGAGCGCGCCCGTGACTAATATTATGGCGTACCCCGCGTAAGTCGTCCCTGTGCTCACCCGACGTCGATCCGGCGTGTCGTCCCTGGCAGGCGCGCGAGGCCGACGCTGAGGAGGAGGCGGCGGCGGTGGCGGCGGCGGCGGCGGCGGCGGCGGCGGCGGCGGCGGCGGCGGCGGAGGAGGAGGAGGAGGAGGAGGAGGAGGAGGAGGAGGAGGAGGAAGGCAACGGCGAGGAGGAGGAGGAGAAGGAGGAGAAGGAGGAGGAGGGGGAGGAGGAGGAGGAGGAAGAGGAGGAGGAGGAGGAAGAGGAGGTGATTGCTGAGGTGGAAAGCGGGGGCGGGGAGGAGACGCAGGACGAGGACACGCCCCAGGAGGAGGCAGGCGCCGCGGGAGGAGAGCCGATGCCACTTGTGGAGTCGCCGCAGGAGGCGCCGGAGGACGAGCAGATTGACCGCGCCGATGTCGTGCTGCGGACCGTCGAGAAGCTCAAGCGCCTGAGCCGCTTCCAGAGCACCGCGGACCTCGCTACCGTCCCTGCCCTCGACCAGATGGAGCGCAACTTCTACGGCGTGGTGCGCGAGCGACGCGTTTTAGCATTTTGTAGAGGTTCCGCCCTCTACTAGACGTGTGAGCTAACACAGACCCTGGAGCGTAATGGACACCGGCCCACAAGGAGAGAGCGTCAGTCACCTGTCCCTCCTCGCATTCGGCATAGGTCAAGCAGGGGCCTGTCCCACAGCGGGTGCACGCGCTGCGATTCGACCTCGGGCTCTAGAGCTTGCCTCGGGGGTCGAGACTAGCCCGTGCGACTTGCCTTCCTAGCTTCCTCGGGTTGGGGTGGTGGTGGTTGGGTGGTTATGGTGGTATCGGGCTCGTGGTAATTTGGAGGATGAGCCTCCCCCATCGTGACACACGTAAGAGACGTTGGTCTAGTATCTGCACACTGTGTGGTGTGTCTGCGCGGTGCGCTTCTGTAGAGTGGGTTTGGCGTTAACGCTTCGCGTTAGAGTCTCGTGAGTGGAGAATGAGGTTTGAGCATTGAGGGGGGTGTCACGGCGCGCAGTGTGTTTTGCCACACGACAGCGGCGTGGCAGCGAGCGCGCGCGCAGACCACCGTCGACACTCCGGAGTGACCAGTGTCCCACGGCCGCAAAAACTTTTGAAAAACACGGGGGTCGAGGCGCGAAACCGAATAAGGTCGAAAGCAAAATATCTGTCCATGACCATGTGTTGACTGCATGTGAATCTGTGTGGCGCGGCGCGCGGCGAGTTTGTGCGTCGGCTTCTATCAGAAGTAAGACTAAGTCGTACAGAGCCGTAGTAACGTAAAAAGAGGCAAACTCATCCTCTGGTGGAGAAGGGTTTGCAGCGCTCTGCCGCTTCTCTACTCTCGAAAACTCCGTCAGCTGCCATTGTATCAGCTGGTGGACTATCTTGTTCACGGGGCCCCGTGAGAGCTGCGCGGGTAGTCTCACATGATCTGCTTCCCGATGAGAGCGTACCTCCCAACGGAGCGTAGCCTCATCTCCTTGGCCTCTTCCTCGAGCGCCGCGCTGCCGGAGACAGGGACGAGCGGTCAGAGACAGGGACGAGCGGTCAGGAGACAGGGACGAGCGGTCAGGAGACAGGGACGAGCGGTCAGGCGCGGGCCGGGGGAGGGCGGCGAGGCGAGGGTGTGTGGACGGACGGTCACGATGTTGGGTGTGGGTGTGTGGGTGTGTGGGCGGGGGGGCGTAGTCGCCTTCCGCCCGTCCGCTCGATGTGGAGAGTGGCGAAGCCGAGCACGGCGATGGAGATGAGCAGCTTGAGCGCGCAGAAGAGGAGCCAGGTGAGCAGCAGCAGCAGCGGGCCCGACGAGTGGTGGAGCGCGAGGGTCGGGAGGACCTTAACGTCAGTTGATATGCATGAACATGAAGTGCTTTGCCTGGCACTGTGATCGCGAGGGTCGGGAGGGCCTCGTTCCCGAAGACGCGTATGGCGAGGCAAAAGAGCGGCAGCGGCACGAAGCCCATCCTGGCGGCGGACGGTAAGCAATGAGACAGTGACTGATGAATGCGTGAATGGACCACCGAAGCCCCTCCTGGCGGCGACGTTGGCGAGCGGCTCCTGCGTGAGGAGGCGGCGGTGGCGGTGAGGTGGCCGAGTCGGCCCACGGGGAGGGGAGTGCCGTGGATTGGTTCCGGTGCTGCTTCCCGCGTTGTGGTGTGTGTGGCGGTGAGGCACTGCGGAAGGGGCTTCGGCTATAGGTGCAAAGAGTTGGCGCTTCCTCCCACTCGCTCCTGCGTGGTGGCGGAGGCCGCGGTGTCGGCGCAGAGGATGCGCGTGAACTTTGCGTACACGTCCGGCCTAGTGGGGCAGCAGAGAGGGCGCCGGTCCGGAGGAGGAGAGGGGCCTCGCGCGAGCGTGTGTCGACACCGCATGCGGTTGAACTTCGTGACAAAGGCGTGCTTGATCCAGTCCACCTGAGGGAGGAGCGGCCCCCGGCTGGTCAGAGGACGGGCTCGCTCGCAGGGCGTGCTTGAGAGCCAGTCTCACCATGATCTCGCAGACGCAGATCATCAAAAAGGCGTGCGAGACCTGGCCGAGACGAGGTTGGGCGAGATTGGGGCGAGATCAGCGGAGATGAGCCGAGGTCAGCCGAGACGCGGGTCGGCAGGGAGGCGCGTGGCGTCACCTCGTGCAGCCGCGCCGCAGTGAGCTCTTCCTTTTGGACAAAGACGAACTGGACGAGGACGATGAGCAGGTACCTGGCGAGGGGGTGAGGTGTGTTAGCGGCGCGCGTCTCCTCCCGGCAGGGAGAGGAGGGTGAGCAGGCACATGGACAGGTTGAAGCGCTCGACCGCGTCCGCGCAGGAGACCTGGCGAGGAGCAGAGGCAGCAGAGCTGCTCTCAGACGCAGGGGGACGAGGCATGGTGGGGCGGGGGGATGCGCACGAGGCCTGGAAGAGGTTCTCCGCCTCGCACCGCTTGAAGACGTTCGTCTTGAGCTCGGTGAAGTTGTTCGAGATGAGGAGGGTGAGCAGCACGTTGGAGTTCGAGTTGATGGCGACCGAGAGGGCGACGGCTTGGTAGAAGAGGACGAGGGTGTGGGCGGTCAGGTAGCCGTACGCCACCAGCAGGTCGAGCGCCATCTCTCCGCGCCAGCCGCGCGCGTGCGAGCTCGCCGAGGCGTAGAGCGCCTCGAGGCGGTCAGAGCCAGGGTCAGCTCAGGGCAGGGCGAGGGGGTCAAGGTCAGGGTTCGGGTCAGGGCAGAGCGCCTCATCAGGTCGTGTGGGTCGTGTGGCTATGATTCTGGTAACGGTGGGCAATGAATGCTATGATTCTGGTAACGGTTGGACATGAGTGCCGATGGCGATGTGGCGCCTCGAGGATGTCCTGCCCAAAGGAGGAGCAGAGCTTGTCGAAGATCTCGAGGCTCGAGAAGACGACGTAGAGCTTCATCACCTGAGGAGCCATCCCCCCCCCCGATCTCATGACTGACTCAGGCCTCGAGGCACGACACGCACATGTCCCTCGCCGACTGGTTGCGGACGTTGTGGTACGCCTGAGACATTGCGACCCCCGGCACGATTCGGTACTCACAAAGAAGTGTGAGCAGTTAAGAGCTGGTTCCGCCTGAGACATTGCGATGCCCGGCACGAGGAGGAGAGAGCCGGACACGAGCGAGATGAGCAGCACCTGAGGCCAGTCACCCAAGGGTTAATGATTGGTGAATGAAAGGACACGAGCGAGAGGAGCGGCACCTGAGGCCAGTCACCCAAGGGTTAATGATTGGTGAATGAAAGGACACGAGCGAGAGGAGCGGCACCTGAGAGGTTGTGCAACCAATCAGAGAGGGCGGGGCGGGCAGCCGGGGGCTCGAGGGAAGCAGCGCCCGCAGCGCGTCTCGCCGCTGCGACGGGGAGAGCGATCGCGACTCGCGGCCGAGTCGCTGCGCGGCCTAAGGAGTCCAACAGCCGTGCCACTGCTCCGCTCGCCTCTCCGCTTGCAGAGGTCGGTGCGGTCGGAGGGTGGCTTGCCGCGAAAAGGACGCGGATGGGGAGGAAGGTGCACTGGTCGATGAAGGCGTCGACGCAGGCGAGGTAGCCTGTGCGGTGCAGACCGGGTTGGAGAGAAGACAGGAGGTGGGCGGTCTCAGCAGCCCACGCAAGGTTTGGCCGAAGAGGAGAAGCGGCTCGAGGTTCCGCGGCACCTGAAGCAAGTGCTGTCAATTTGAGCACCATCGCCCTTCCTCCTCTGCGAGTAGCAGCAGTAGCGCCGCCTGGAAGAAGTTGTAGATGCCCTCGCGCCGCCGCTGCGCGTCCTGCTCCGAAGCAGACTCGCTCCGGTACACCATCGCCTGCGCGCTGTCCGAGCCGAGCTGCCCCCCGAGGAAGGCGAGCAGGCCGCCGCCGCCGCCCGCCCTGCGCCGCTGGTCCACCATGGGAGCGGGGAGCCGCATGTCGGCGGGGCAGGTCGCGGAGGCCGGGATCGAGCTGCCCGCCTTTGGGATCGAGCAGCGCAGGCCTGGCGACCGCTCGGACCCCTTCAGGAGCGGAGACCGGTCGGACGGGCGCGAGGCCGCGCTCGCACCGCAGCCTTCCGCCAGCGCTGCTGCCCGCTGCTGCCTGCTGGCACGGGAGCCGCCGGACGTGCTGCGCGGCGAGAGCTGTTCGTCGGCGCTCCTGCTGGACGACGCCTCGGAGGCGACGCCGCGGCTGGGCGATGAAGGCAGCGAGAGGCGTGGCGACTCCTCAGGCGACGCGGCCACCGGCGGCACAGAGAGCTTGAGCTCGGGCACCGGAGGAGGGTAGCGCGTCGGAGGCTCGGGTGGCGTCGGTGGCGTCGCCATGCACACTGAAATAAAAACAACGGCGAACCTCAAAAAGACTACGGCACGAAAGAAAGAGAAGGGCGCTCGCGGGAGTGATGACGAGTGAACTACAGGTAGTGGGGAAGGCAGCCTCGATTGCCATACAGACATGGGTGCGAAACAACGACAAGACCAAGGCACGGGCAGAACGAGAGAAGAATATATAGGGTGGATAAAGCGCCTGTTCACGGCATGGAGGGTGAGCCACACCGAACGTACCGAGCGAAGAGCCGAGCGGAAGGAGGACGGGGAAGATGACTCAGAGGAGGACGAACCAGTGGAAATTCAGTTGTCAGATGTCACGATGCATCCGAAGGGGACCCCAGCGCCGGCATCATCCGTAGAGGCACGAGTGTTCGAAGAGAGAGTGGACCTGAGCAACGATATGACTTGGCGGCAAATGATTGGAGTGGGAGTCAGAAATGTGGTCCTTGCGCGAGGGGAGCTCGATAGACTTGAGGGGCCAGGATACGCCGCGAGGAGGACGGAGTTGCGCCGAAAGGCGGGAGAAGCCGAGAGAGCAAGGGACCGGCAGGCGGCGGCGCCGCAGGACGAGGCAGAAGAGAACGACGCGACAGAGGAGGAAGTGACAAGGGAGAGAACGACGAGAGTGGGACGGCCGCGAGGTGGCATGAAGGTTGCAGCGAGAAGCGGCGAGAGACTGCGAAAAGAGATACGAAGAGGCAGACTCCCCAGGGTGGGCGACGGCTAGCGCATCACACTCCTCTCCTTAAAATCCCTGTGTGGTGGCGGCGTTCCGTTCTCCCATCCCTCCCTTGGGTTGTCTGTCTTCTTTCTTTCTTTCTTTTACTACGGCACGCTGCTCTTTCCCGCCCCCCCCCCCGTTGCAAGAATTGGTGATAAACTGCGGAGAGAGATAGGAAGTGGTAGACGCCCGAGGGTGGGCGACGGCTAACACCACACTTCTCCCCTAAAATCCCTGTGTGGTGGCGGCGTACCGTCCTCCCATCCCTCCCTTGGGTTGTCTGTTTTCTTTCTTTCTTCCCCCCCCCCCCCGGCGCGCGGTGTTTCTAGTATTAACAAGGACCATTGGTTTCTAGTATTAACAAGGCGCTCTCAAAAAAGAATTTTACGCCGGCGCTCCTTTTCCGGTGGCGGCGTGCCGTCCTCCCCTCCCTCTTTGCGGTGGTAGCTTTCTTTTTTCTGCCCCGCCCTTGGGTGATTTTCTTTCTTTCTTTCTTTCTTGGCGCACTGGCACTATGCAGCTACGTACCGGTACACCAAAAAAGAATGTCTTATGCGCTGGCAAGAGGAGGACCCGCTAGGGGGCGTTTTGTCGAAAAGGGGGGTTTGTCGAAAAAGAAATATGAAAACGATTAAACCTAATAAAAAGGAGCCAAACAAACCTATAAACTAAAAACAATATACCTAAATATAAACTAAAAAGGAGCAACGCTGGCGAGGTACTCCCACGCCTCTCGGGGTTTTTGTCTGGCCGAGTCAACCCGAGACTGCTGGGGCGAGCCTCGGCGAGGCTGCGTCAGCTGTTCCCGGGCCTTGGCAGCCGCACGGTTGTAAGTCCCAGCGGCCTTTACCGGTAGCGCCGGGACGAGCCGGGACTTGTTGTAAGTCCCAGAGGGGGGGGAAGCGCTGCGGGCTGCTGGCGCACCGCGGCGGCCCTCATCCGAGCCGTGGTGCCCAGAGACGGAGCGCCGCGGGCCGCGTCGTCACCGTAACCATGTGTGGCCTCGCCCGACGGTCCCTCCCCTGGCCTTGCTGTGTGTGCGCCTCCCCTCGCCCTCGCCCAATCGCAACCGGTCCGCCTCCGCTTTCCCGCAGGCCAAAGTGGTCCAAGAAGTCGCGCTCGCGCAAGTTCTGCCGCGAGCGCATGCGCTTTGCCCCGCCGTACTCCAAGAGGACGCAGATTGGTCGGCATCAGTGGATGACCTACTGCCCGCGGCACGACAAATGCCAACACCGGCGGTGCATAGGACTAGCTACATGTCCAGCCCCGGCCGGCCCGGCGCCGGCGCGCTCTCGCAGCAGCCTTCTCGCCGTCTTCCCCGCACTCGCACGAGGCATGGCTGGCCCCTCGATAGGCGCCGCTGGTGCAAGCGACCTATGCCAAAGCAAGTGACGAGGCGGAGATGTACATTGTGCCTGTGATCGTGGTTCCTCGCAAGACAGCAGCATGATTCGGTTCGCGCTTCCTCCCCCCTCCCCCCTCCCTCCCGCGGCCCCTCCTCGATCCACCTTCTCGCCCGTCCCCCGCCTCGCGCCGACTGTGCTCCTCAAGCCCTTCCCCCCCCCCCCTTTTCCCCCCCCCAGGGAACTCAGACCTTACCTCCGGGGGGGAAGCTTCCCCCCCTTCCCCCCCTCCGGGGGGGAAGCTTCCCCCCCCTCCGGGGGGGGGAGCTTGGACGAAAATAGGTCCGCCGGCCGGTTCCCACAGCAGGCTGGAAGTACCTCGCCAGGAGCAACGGAGGTTCCGTTGACGCCGTCCCTTGTGTACGCCTTTATGGCCGCCGCCGACGGCGGCCGCGTGCCGCCACTCGCGCTGCTTGCCTACCAGTGCGTCAAGCGGGAGGAGGAAAGCGCTGTCGCGGAATTGAAGAGCGACGCTGCCGCTGCAGCCGAGGCGGCTTCGCGTGCCGTCCACGCTCGCGCCGAGCGCCTGATTGAAGAGATATGCCAGCATGCTTACAGCGATGCAGCAGACGCACGGGCAGCAGTGATGACAGATCGCAATGCTGCAGTCCGCGCTCTGCGCGGCGGGGTGGCGGCAAATGTCGCTCCTGTCATGGATACCATCGCGACAAAACAAGCGAGCGGCTGGTGCGAGTGTGTTGGGCCACTCGAGGACGCTGCCGCCGTGGAGGAACTCAAGGCTGCGGATGAGTTGGAGGTTGATGAGGGTCGACGAGAGATTCTACGCATGGTGAGAGGCCAAGGTGATGGCAGTGAGATCGCAAGGGCGTTCGAGAGATTATCTCCCGCGTCGGCTGGCACGTGCAAGGCCCTTTTCCGGGACCCAGGGAGGCGCATCTCGCGATCGCTCGTGCCAACCTCTGTGCAGACGCTGCGCGGCAGTCCTCACACGACCGAGCACTTGATCGCATGCGTGTGCGATGCACGCGCCGACCTCTGCCCCGCTTGCCGTCCGGAGCGCCGCCCGTGTGGCCTCTGCGGCGAGCAGTTCTGCTCCTTCTGCTTCGCTGCGCACAAGCCCGTGTGCGACCGCAGATTCATGGACGTATGCGGAGCCGATCTTGAGCGTCGCTGCCTGTCGACGACGGGCCCATCAGGCCTCCGTGGGTGCGCCCAGCGCGCGCGATCGAGCCAGCAGTGCGGCGAGGTGGACGAGTGGCAGTTCGGGGTGGACGGGCGTCTCGAGTCGGAGCGTCGAGACCGCTGCAGTGTTCAGTCCTGCAATGCCTGCTCCGGAGAGTGCCGTGGCATCTGGGCCTGGGACGGGGACGAGCGCGAGGACAGCAAATGCACTGCGCGGCTATGCCCAGCGCACGCCGACGCGGGCTTGTGCCCGCCATGTGAGGCGCGCAAGCGCGCCGGCCGGATCCCGTTTCAGCGCAAAGACACCACCCGCCTCGACGCGACACGCTGGGTCTGCTGGCTTCCAGAGCTACCCGACGGCCAGCGCTACCGTTCTTGGGCAGAGCAAGTTGCGGCGGGCTGTGGGCGTGAGCAGTGCGGCCGCTGTACCGCCAATCGTCTGCAGGCGCTACTGGCCGAGACGGAAGCGGCCGCTGAGGCTGAGGGGCTCGAATATGCCGAGTGCCAGCGACGCGTGCTCGAGGCGGAGCGTCATTTCGATGCGCAGCTGCCGCCGGGTCATCCAAACAAGCGGCGCGTGCAGCGGCCGCGGCACGACTATTATTGAGTGTGCGCCCCGCGTGTCATGCGTCTTTTGCGTGTTCGTGACACGCATATGCAGTAGAGTATGCAGAGAGATATGGCCACCTGTGACTACGGGTGTGCTTGCGAGGTACTGCGTCTCATTTTAATAAAACGAAGGTAACAGAAAAAAAGTCTGGCCCGCACCGTCATATTCTGCTAGCATTGGCCATTGCTCTCACTATACGGGGATATATCACTGCGGGAACACCCCCTATTGCCTATAATCCGACGCCGCCCCGCTTCCCAGCCCCACAGAAGACCGCTCAGCGGCCGCGGCCACTCCCTCCTCCCCGCCCGCCGCCTCGCCCGCCTCCCTTGCGGCCGCCGCCCGCGCCCTTTGTTCCGAGCGGGATGCCGCCGTCCCCTCGCTGCCGCCGCTGCCGCCGCGCGTTGCCTCCCGCGCTGCCGACGCTGCCGTCGCTTGCGTCGGACCCCGCGCTGCGTGGCCGGTCGACGTCGCTCCCCGCCGCCTTTCGCTTTGGCGAGACCGCGCCCGGAGGCGGCATCAGCTGGCGCGCCGCCGCCGCGCGCAAGTTGGGCGACCCCTCCGGAGTCGAGCGTGCGGAGGACTCGCTGGTGACGTCGGTCCGCTCCGAGAAGCCGTGGGGCAGCGCGGCGATCGGCTTGTGGAAGGAGGCCTGACGCAAGAGGGGGGGGGAGGGGGTGGCGGGTGCTTGCTCGTGAAGGAGCGGTGCTGCCGACGGAGGCGCTGTCTGCCGCACGAGCGAGGCCGAGGAGCGGTGATTAATGATATATTATCCAATTAGGCGCTGCCGCACGAGCGAGGCCGAGGAGCGGTGATTAATGATAATTATCCAATTAGGCGCTGTCTGCCGCACGAGCGAGGCCGAGGAGCGCTTGATTGATTAATTCATAGTTCAGTAGTTGCTGTGCTAATAGTTACCTGCCGCACGAGCGAGGCCGAGGAGCGGTAGTCCTCGGGCGCCTGCAGGTGCACAGTTGACAGTGAGCAGAGTCGCATAGTTGAGGGCTTGAGAGACTTGGTCCCCGGGCGCCTCGACGGACCGGCGCTCGAGCTGCGTGCTCAGCGTGAGCCGCTCGCCTAGTGAGGAGGAGTGATGGCTGACCGACTCACGGCTGAAGACTTTGCTGGCGCCTCAGCGCGTCCCGCCGCCCACCAAGCATCGCCGCCGTCGCGGAGCGCGGCGAGGCGACGTCGGCGGCGGAAGCGGCCCCCGCCGGCGCTCCCTGCGCGAAGTTCAGGTGCGCGAGGAGAGGGAGGTGGTCCGAGGGGAAGCGCTCCTGTTCACGGCAGCACGCGTGAAGTGAGGCTCTCTGCACCGGTGCCGCCTTGGGAGGGGGAGTGGCGAGGCGCTCCGAGGGGAGGAAGCGGCCGAGGCGGACGGTGTCCTCGGAGGGCAGCTGCAGCACGCGGGCGGGCGCGAGGTGCGACGAGCAGAGCACGTAGTCGAGCGTGCCGACGAACTGACACGGCGGGCCTGAGGGCGCAACAAGAGGCGGCGAGTCGGCTCTGCTTGGCTCTGCGCGTGCGGGCGAGCCGGCAACGCTGCGGGCCGGTGAAGTTTGTGAAGAGAGGCTCGTCCCCGAGCACGGCGGCGTAGGCGGAGGTGAAGGCGCGGGGCAGCGTGACGGCTCTCTCGCCGCCGCAGGCAGAGTCGGAGGGAGGCGGAGGGCCGAGCGACGGGAAAGCGACGTGCTCCGCGACGATGGCCTGTTCACAGCCGTGGGTGTGAAGAGACGCTGTTCACACCTCTCGTCTCTGTGCTCCGCGACGATGGCCTGTTCACAGCCGTGCGCCTGTGAAGAGGCGCCGTCCCCAGGGGCAGGGCGGCGGAGTGCGCCGCGACGGCGGCCATGTGCGGGTGCGAGTGCGGCAGCGAGCCGGAGGTGAGGAGGCGGTGCACGCCCGAGCCGGGGATCGAGTTTAGGTCGCAGCCTGCCACCACGCCGCAGCCGCCGTGTCTCGCCGCGAGCTCGCACGCCGCGGAGAAGGCGGCGTGCGCCTGATGGATGATATGTTGTACATTTTATGTTTGAACTAGCTCGCACGCCGCGGAGACGGGGGTGCGTGCGCCTGCGCGATCTGCGTCCACGGCTCGGTGAAGGTGCAGCCTAGACTCCGCGAGATGCCCCGAGATGAGCCGAGATGAGCCGAGATCTGCGTCGAAGCGCGGTGCAGGGGCAGCCCAAATGCGTGCACAGAGCGACGAGCGGCAGCCCGCGACGGCGGTGGCGCAACGCCACCACCACCGCCACCTGCGCGCCCCGCCCGAAGTGCTGCCGCGACTGCTCGTCGGCGCACGCGGCGACGAGCACCTGGTTGAAACGAGCACCTGGTTGCATCTGCTAGAGCGCCTTGCTCGACCGGCACGTGCTCATTGCACATGACACATGATGTGACATCACTGCACATGCTAGAGCACACCTTGTTGATTGGCACTGTCACGTGCTCGAGAAGCTCAAACTCGGACCGCCGCCAGTAGACCGCGTTGCCGATCTGCACGGCAGGCCACGCAGACCTGCGGGGAAGGGTCCGAGAAGGCTCTTCTCTGCCCCAAGCCGCTGCCGACCTGCTCTTGCGGGCCACGGGTGCCCATCCCGCGTCTTGCGCGCGTACTTTCCGTCGTAGCCGCGGCTGCGCAGCGCCGCGTCCACCGCCGCGAAGTGGTTGCGCTCCTACGCGAGATCAGCCGAGATCAGCCGAGATCAGCCGAGATCAGCCGAGATCAGCCGAGAGTGGCGGAGGTTCGTCCAGCCCAGCGGTCGCGCTCCTCCTGCCCCTCCGCCCCGGGAGGCGTGCCCTGCAGCTCTTGCAGGCAGAGGATGGACGGCGCGTGCAGCTCGATCTCTGCGATCTGCAGCTCCAGCCGGTGCGGCCAAGCGAGGTGCCGCTCTTCGGCGTGCGGGAACGCCTCGCAGTACGTCAGCATGTCGGCCAGCAGGTTGAACGTCATCAGGCTCACGTCGGGCGGCGAGGCGCCTGTTCACGGCAGCGGGTGTGAATGAGACGCTCTTCACACCTCCTCACGTCGGGCGGCGAGGCGCCCGCGGGCTGTGGAGGCACGAGTCCCCTCGCCTCGGGCGACGGAGTTAGCCGCTCGAGGAAGAGGCCGTCCGCCGAGAGGGAGACGAGGGGCGACTCGCCCGGCCGGGGCAGCAGCGCGACCAGCTGCTGCGGAGACAAGTTGGCGAGCGGCTCGTGGCGCGCGGCGGCGACCGCCTCGTGGCGCGCGATCCCCGCGAGTGGCTGCAGCTGCGGCATCGCACACAGCTCCTCCACCCGGATCCTACAGGAAGGCTCCAAGACGGCTCCAAGAAGGCTCCCGTGGGCATCGCACACACCTCCTCCCCCCGGGATCCTGGCGCCGCACCCGCCACCCTCGAGTGCGCCCGGCGCAGACGCGGCGCGCACGCGGCGACGCACCTCGGCGTCGAGGGTCAGGCTCGCGTCTCCGAGCAGCTTCGTCACCGCCGCAACCACTGCCGCGCGCGCCGCCGCCGCCACCGCAGGCGGCAGCGCGCGCGCAGGGGAGCGGGCTGGCTGTCGCGAGGCGCGCACACTCGACTTATCGTCGGACACCTGCGCACGGGAGGAGAGGGACTTATCTCGGCGCCGGGAGGAGAGGGACGCTGAGCCGAGACCGTCCCGAGATCGCGAGAGGCGGTGCGGGCGCCTGCAGCCGCGGCGAGTGCGACAGCACGTGTGCCACCGCCGCCAGCTGCGGGTGGCACAGCTTGCGCATCCGCGGGAAGGCGCAGAGCGTAGAGATGGGGACCCAGCCGTCCGGGTCGCTCAGCTGCTCCATCAGGAAGCCGTCTCCCGCCACGTCGCGCCGCGTCAGGTACCACTCCACCTGCTCGAGCAAGAGAGCCTCAGGCGAGATCGTCCGACCGGTCAATGCAGCACTCGCTTCCGCAGCGTCAGGCGCCGCAACACCTGCGTGCAGATCTTCTCGAGCAGCGTCATGCGGCGAAGCTGCCCTCCGATAGGTGCCTTGCCGCCGCCGTCGTGCCTCCCCCCCTCCTCCTCGCCCTGCAGCACCAGCTCCGCCGACGACGAGACGGCCTGACGAGGCCAGAGCAGCTCGTCAACTCTACCGGCTGCAGCCGCACCTCCTCTGCAGGACAACAGGCCGCCTCGCGCACGAGCGCCGCCCGGCGCGCCGCCGGCCCGCGCGCGGCGTCGACGAGCTGCGAGAGCTGCGCGTACGACCGAACCACCTAACCGCGACTCCGCCGTCCGTGAGATCAGATTCAACTCACGAGTGCAACTCACCGGCCGCCGGCTTGAATGGGCACCCACCCACCTAGCACCCACCCACACGCCGGCGCACCTGGTCGAGGTGCCCAGACACTTCCTAGACACTTCCTAGACACTTCCTAGACACTTCCCACACGCCGGCACACCTGGTCGAGGGGCGCGTACCCCTCCTCGTCCTGCAGCAGCTGCAGGTGCAGGTCGCGGTGGTAATTGTTGTCCGAAAAGAGGAACCTGCCCACAGCGACGGCGGGGTGTGGAGAGTCGCTGCCCGCCGGCGGTGGCTGGAGGAGAAGGGAGGCACTCGAGCTGGTTGCGCAGCTGCACTCGGAGCGGCATCTTGCGGACCGCGGAGCCGTCGCCCGACAGCTCGACCACCATCGAGCCGCGAGCGCGCAGGCAGTCGGCCACGACGCCGACACCCCCGAAGGGCCACACCGCGGGGCCGAGAGGAGAGTAGTGGAGGAGGGAGGCGATGGGAAGGAAGCCGTCCGCCTGGTGCGCCTCGCGCTGCAGAGCCGGCACGCCGCGCTCGAAGCCGGATACCAATAGCTCCTCCACCTGCTGCACCACTCTCGCGACGTCCGCCTCGCCCATCGCAACAGAGGCGCGAGTGACGGAGTGGACGCGGCTCAGCGCGATGGGCTGCGTGGACGACGGGAAGCTCGGCGGAGCAAAGTTGACGTCGACTTGCATACTCAATCGTGAGCAGCGACTAGCGCGAATAGCACAGCTGGAATAGCAGCGCGAATAGCACAGCTGGAATAGCAGCGCGACCTAGCGGACTCGCGACGACCCCAGCCCCGAGCTGCTGGCCCTCGCAACGAGTTCCGGCGCCCGACAATCGGGCGCGGCGGAAAGAATTCGCTTTCGACTACCCCAACTACCACACGAAAGTCGTCGCGGTGGCGCCGGCCGGCGAAAATTCAAAGAATTCCCGCCGCCGAAACCTGCCTCGCCGTGGAATGTTACTGACAGCAACAGGGCATATCTAGATACCTTTAACCCTTTTACGTACACATTTCGAGCGAGTGAAAACCAACTCCTGAGCACGGCGCCGCAGGCGCCTGTTGATAGGTCCAGGTGATAGCCCTGGATGCAGGATGGGCAATGCAATCGCCTACTTGGGCCTCAGATCGCCCGACCGCGTCCCGCGGTGCTCTGTGGTCGGATTTGTGACGCCGCCGCACCGCGCCGCGGCCGGGGGCCCGCCGGAGGACGAGGATGGCCGTGAGGGACCGGGACGAGCTCTGGGTTGCAGTCTGGGAGGTTCAGTGTCAGTGAGTATATTGTAGAGAGGCCACTCATGTGCACAATATCTTGACTGAGAGCTAAGCCAGGGGAGGCGATGCCGGGGCCGTACAGCAGCTTGATGGTGCTTCGCCGGCGTAGAAGCGGCCGCGGCGGGCTCCGGGTGCCTGAAAAAAAGACGGAGTTACGTGGGCTGTGGGAGATTTACTGTCGACAACACTCAAACGACACTGTGGCGTGATCCTCTCATATATGGCTAAATAATTGACCGAGCCGTTTTTTAAGTTCCACCGCTACGACTGGAGATATATCGAGATTGGGTCTTCAAGACCCTTACTGTCCAAGCCTAAAGTCTGCCCAGGTTGTCAGGGACACGATCCCGGCGTGAACACGCCGATCTGACAAAATCCCGAGTGCCTACCGCGGTAGGCTTTGTTTGAAGTTAAAAGGAAAACGAGGGACGCACGCCGGCGAAACACCATCAAGCTGCTGTACGGCCCCGGCATCGCCTCCCCTGCGGCTTAGCTAGACTGAGAGATATTGTGCATATGGTTAGTCTCAACAATATATACACGTGACACTGAACCTCCCAGAGCTCGTCCCGGTCCGCCACGGCCATCCTTGGCCTCCGGAGAGCCCCCGGCCGCGGCGCGGCTATCACCTGGACCTATCAACAGGCGGCTGCGGCGCCGTGCTCAGGAGCTGCTGCTCCAACGGGGTGTCAGCGGCTTACCCCACTAACTCGACCACGGCGAAGCGAATGCGCGGGGTCCGACGACCTCAAGCCGCCGCATTCGGCCGATCTTGTTCACGGCCAGCTGATCCCGGGTCCGGCAAAAAGTTTTATTTCGCCGGACCCCCACGGGTCGGTGGTGCCCATTAGCCACTCTCTCTATTAGCCTCTCTCTCTCTCTCTCTCCCATTAGCCATAGGAGCACCCCAGGGTTCGATTTCCGAAGAGTTTTTCGGCCGCGTGTGGATTTGGGCACTGGGGTGTGGACTGGCGCGCACATCTAACACACGAAAGTCGTCGCGGTGGCGCGCCGGCCCGGCTCTCGCTGACCTTCCGAGGTCTACATGTTTCTGCGCCCCTGCCCCGCCATCCTTGTTGTCCAGGCGCTAGTCTTTTCCTCGAGCCGAAATCCGACGCTGACCCTGACCGGCTCCTCGGCGGCGGCGCTTTGCCGCGCTTACGCTGTTGCCGAGCCCGCCCCGTCCTGCCGAGTCTTGGGCTTTCGCGGATGGCTGCTCAACGGTCGTGCGATCCGTGGCGACAAGGCCGTCGACGCGCTTCTCCTCTCATCTGCCGCCTTTGCCGGTCTCTCGCCAGCTCTGCGCTCGCACATCGCAAAGGAGAGCGGCCGCCTCTCGGCCAACAGGACGGCTGACGCACACTGCGAGGCGGCTTCGCGGGCGGCCGACGCCGCGGATGAGGCAGCTTCGCGGATGGCCGCTGCGGATGTTGTGCACGGCGGCATATGCGACAGAGTGCCGCTCGTCGGTCCCGATGACCCGACACGGGTGCACTTTGATGTGGCGCACGACGCAGAAGGCTGCTTCGTCACCGACCAAGGAAAGAACAACTGCTACGACTACGCCACCGACATCCTGACCAACACGTTTGCGCAGCCGGGCCGCGGGTCCGGCGTGTGCCGGAAGACGGCTCGCCCCTGTGTCCCAAACACGTGCGACGACGTGCGCAAAGCCGCAGAGTCTGACGGGCTTGTGTGGCATGGCAACGCGCTGCCGGATGCACTTCCTGCCGCTGGCCACTACGTCAGTCTGCACATATGGCCACAGTCGAACTTCCATTGGCTGAGGATGGACGCCGACAAGTTCTGGTCCCACAAGCCGGGCGGTTCGCCCGTGCGCAATGTGGACAACAGCGGCCGCTTGATCAACGACCCGGCGAGAGCCGACGTCAGTCCGTGGTCGAACCACTGCGGGTACATGCTCGCACGGCCGTCGAACCTGACGCTCTACTGAGCGACAGCGCACCCCGCACTTGACCGCGACCAAACCGGTGCCGGTCCGGTCCCGTCCCTTGTCGTTATGTGTACGCGGTGTACGCGGTGTCGCGGTGGCATATTGCAATACGTAGGCATGCACACATCATAAATAAAAACGGTCAAACTCATCTGAGACGAGATCCGATCAGGGATGCGCGATGGATCGCCGTGTGATATACAAGTATTACGACTCTCTACTCTTTGTGTTCGGAGCGGACGGCGTCCGGGACGGTCGGGGGACGGCATCGGCCCGACGGCCGCCGAGGGAACGTTGGGAAGAGGCACGAGCGACGAGGAGGGCGGCGACCTCAACCGACTATGGAGGACCTGTCGCCAGGCGACGCAGAGAGCAGACGACGGGGGAGAGTTGGAGCAGACGCGCAGGGCGAGACGAGGGAGGGAGCAGGAAAGCTTTGCGGAGATCAGCAGGAGGATGTACGAAGAGTTCAGGAGCAGCAGGCAGGGGCCCGAGGGACCATGTGGAAGACGGCTAGTGCTAGTCCCCCATCGGAACGAAACCCCCCCGTCAGCCTGGGCGGGAGTCAGCCACCCGTGGCCACGCACAGCACCTGCACGATGACGATGGCCGTCGAGGTCTGCTGCCTGCGAGCGAGCCGGACGTGACATGGGCGCCCGGTGGTCAGGGCTCTCTTGCCCGTAGCCCGATGCCAATCATCTGGCCCGCTGGGTGCGCTTCTTAGCTCCCCGGCCCTCCTGGATGGTAGTGCGGTTAATGACTGCACTCCCAAGTGCTCCAAGTGCTCCAAGTGCTTCGGTGGCACGTGGACAGGAAGGCTCGCTACGAGCTCGTAACGTGCAGCTTCACGGTTACTGGACCGTCACGTGTCTGGTTCTTGCCCAGCAAGATTGGGCGTCTGCAGTCCCTTTGATGGGCGGCCCCTGGGTGGGGGCCACCTCGAACCCCAAGCCTGGGTTTCGAGCAGAGGGTGCCCCGGATTCATCCATCCGTTGGGCCCCCCGGTGCCTTCGAACTGATCATGTTGCGCAGCAGCCATCCCTAGCCAAATCCACGGACCCACACGTGTGTCCCTATCCAGAAGGGCGTCGCAGACGATGCAATGGGGCCACAAGCGGCGACACTCGATGCATCTGACTGCTCGGTGAGGGCGGCCTCCGTTGCAAGTTGTGGTTGGCATACCCATCGTGGCGTGCACGAACATGATTGCAGGCAGAGGGATGCCGCGCTCATGCTGCTCGGCGGTGAGCGACGGTGCAGCGGTCGGGGCACGGGGCCGGACGGCGAGGAGCAGGCAAAGCGGGATGTCAGTTCGTGAGTTCTGTGTCCCCGTCCCTGTGCTGCACCTTCCTCTCCCGCGTGAGTCCCTGAGAACCCCCCACTACATAGCGCCACCTCGTGAGCTGTCCTGTGATCTGTGTGCTGTGTGTCCAGCAGTCCGGACCCGGTGCTACGGCCGGTGACAGTGTGCCTGCGCTGGTGTCGGCTCCCAAGCCAATCGTGTGCAGCGTGTGTGTGCGTGTGGCCCGTCCTCCATGCTAGTAATCTGCAAGGTGGATGTGTAGTAATCTGCAAGGCGGATTGTGTGGTGTGTAGTAATCTGCAAGGGCCAAGGCAATTGTGACCCGCCGTAGTAATCTGCACGCGAAAGGTATTTCCTCAATAAGAAGGCTGTGAACGGCGGCAAAAACGTCTCCCGAGGATGTCCGCGGTCGACTTCTGGCGGCAGCAAGTCGTCCCGGCGCTGCCGCCCTCGCCCTCGCCGCCGTGCACCGCTCCGGGCCGCGACCGGCACGGCACGGGCAACAGCGGCGACTGCTGTGAGAACTCCTGCCTCGAAGAGCGTGACCCGACCGGTGAGCCACCAGAGCCCCGCGCTGTGCTCCATCTGCTCTCTCTGCGAAGCTGCCGCCGCACGCCGATCCCACCAGCAGGCCGTGACCCGCCACTGCCACCAGTCGGCTCGCTGCCTTAACCACCGCCCGCCGCCGCCACTGCCGCCACTGCCCCTGCCACCCGCCGCTCACTCATCCGCCGCCTTCATCTCGCCCTCTCCGCCGACGCCCAGCACGGCCCTCCGCAGATCCCGTGTATGCCCTCTACTCGCTCGTTGTCGTATGCCGCTCCGCGTGTCTCCCGATGCCGCCTCCGTCGCCGCTCCCACCCGCTCCGCCCGCGCTGCCGCCCGCGCTGCCTGCGCCGCCGTCGCCGCCGCCACCGCCGTCGCCGCCGCTGCCCTGCACAGCGGGCGGGAGTGACGTGTGGGCGACGGGAGAGCGGGTTCCCTGCTGCAAGCCCTGGGTAGAGCAGTTCGTGCCCCGGCCGGGCCACAAAGGCACGAGGCTAGCCGAGAGACTATACAACGCACGCCTGATTGGTGTGTTAGGTCTATACTAACGCTCTCTGCGTATTGAGTCGTATCAGGACCGCTCCGCCTCATGTGCTTCGAGCTCGGACACGCCGGCGCCTTTCTCGACGCCGCCGCCGCCTTCGCCACCACCGCGCCGCTGCCGCCGCTGCCGCCGCTGCCGCCGCTGCCGCCCTCTCCGCCTTCACCGCCAGCGCTCTGGCCACTGCCTCTGCCGCCGCCGCCGGTCCTGCCGCTGCCGCCGCCGCTGGTGCTGCCGCCACCCCCACTGCCGCGGCCGCCGCCGCCATCGCCGTCGCCGTCGCCACCCCCGGCGCCCCCGCCGCACCCGCCCGGCGACAGCGACGTCGAGACGGCGGCGCCGCCGATCAACTCGGGGACGCCGCTGCAGCACGTGTTTGGCGTGAGAGTGGACGTGGGGTACTACGAGACGGTGACGTGGCTGGAGCAGCAGCCGATTGGCATCGCCGCCTCCCTCTTCCTCGCTGCTGCAGCGTGGGTTGTTCACTCCCATCTCGCCGCCCTCATGGCCACACACACACACACACACACACACACACACACACACACACATTCCTGCTGCAGCCGCCTCTTCCTCGCTGCTGGCAGCGTGCCCCCCCCGGCCTCACCGCGGGCGGCCATATCTAGTCACCCCGGAAGCACAATTAGCCAGCATTGTTAAGCAGGCCCTCCTCCTCGCCGCCGGCTGCTGCTGCTGCGCCGTGCGGCCGCGTAGGCCTCCACATGCCTCGTCGCGACGGGCGCGTAGTGTTAGTAGTAAGTAAGCAACCTTAATTCCAAGGCCGCGCCCCTCTCCACGCCCAAGCGACTAGCGACAGGTGACGTGGCCTCAGTCCACATAGTCAGTCCACATAGGGACTGAGACACAGAGAGTGAAAGCACGGACGGGGCGCCGGCAGGGGCCGCGCAAGGGAGAGGGAGGAGGGAGAGATTGTGAGTGCTGTCTAGGCGCCAAGGTCGGCCGGCCGCCGCCAAAACTCGCGCGAGGAAGCGGCGAGGAGGGAGGAGAGGCGGTGGGAGCGCACGGCGCTGCAGGCGGCGGAGGCGGCGGAAGTGGCGGCGGAGGCGGAGGCGGAGGAGGAGGCGGCGAAGGCGGAGGCGGAGGCGGAGGCGAGGGCGGCGGCGGAGGCGAGGGCGGCAGCGAGGGCGAGGAGAGACGCCGCGCCCGCCGCCGGCGCCGAGCGACGTGGCGCCAGCATCCCGCCGCTGCACGGGCGACGCTTGGGATGGCATTCGGCCCAACGCTCTTGGCGCTGTGCTCCTAGGGCTAGGCGCTGCTCGCCCGTACGCCGTAACCGTCCCGAACTCCGCCTTTGGTTTGGACGCGGTGAGTGAGCGATATGGGAGCGATATGGGGCCGAGGGGAGACCGTGTTCACATCGGGCGGGGGCACGCGGTTTGCGCACACCAGGACTAGGGGGGCAGCACGCGCACACCACTCCATAGGGCCGATTGTTACGCACGCGAGACAGCCGAATCGTTGATTCGACGTCAACTGCGCCCCGCCCCCTCCCTCTCCCCCTGACACCCGCCCGAGTGTGAGAAACGGCGGAGGGGAAGCTTGTGGCTGCTAAGTGCTATTCCTGCGGCTTGTGTTCACGGCTACAGCTGTGAACAGGCGGACGAGGCCGCCTACTCCTCCAGCGGCTGCTCCTCGGTATGGTCGGAGCGACACGCTCCCGCCTATTCATAGCCGCGCCTGTTGTTTGTTTCTGTGTGTATCCGCGCTCTTGGCGCGATTACGAGAGGGACTAGTGTGTCGCACTTGGTAGCTTTCGTAAAACATTTCCAAATTCGGAGCACGAGCTGAGGCCACGAGCTCGCAGCTGCAGCTCGACCGCCGCGCCCCCTTTGGCAGGACGCAATCCGACCCTCAAGTGCTTTTGAGGACAAGAGTCGAGCGGCGTGTCACGGTCTTGTCAATATTTATTTCTCTTCTTTTGGAACAAAGAAAATTGAAGCGAAGATCGTCCGCTAAATCCGTGCTTTCGGCGCACTTGAGGGGAAGCCGCTGATCGAGCCCCCAGCGTGGCCGCGGCCGCCTCCCGCGCAGCACCGCCGCTGGGGACGACACGCTGCGGAATCGGATCGAGCCCATGCATGGGGGAGGAGGGCGCAGTCGGCGAATTGGAGGAGGAGGGCGCAGTCGACATTCCTGGGTAGTCGACGGGCCCCCGGGGGCGACGGGGGTGCTCTCGCGGGGGGTCCCCCCAGTCAAGGGGGTCTGGGGCGCAGCCCCAGGTAGCCCGCCGCAGGCGCCGATTTTTTGGGGCTTTTTTGACTGATTTTCATGAGGTGTTGCTACTATTTTGGGACCAGTTGAAGCCTAAAAATGGCTACAAATACAGCCACAGCAGCTGCTAGTCGTGAGCTGCTACTGTGTGGCAGAGCCCAGAGAGAGGGCCTTCAGGAGCACTATTCAGTTTGATCCAACTCAATGTTGCGGAGTAGTAACACTGTTCCGTTACCGTGAGCGGCCGGCGGCCGGCGGCGGCCGGTGGCGGCACGCGGAGCACTCCGTGAGCGGTGACGGGTGCGGACGAGCGAATGAGAGGTCCCTTTCAGTGAGAGATAGGCAGCCCTGGTCTCTAACAACACATCTTCCACAGATAGCGACCTCTCATTCGCTCGTCCGCGCCCGCCACTGCTAGTCGGGACACTCCCGGCGTGCGGCCCGGTCCCGGTCGTCACTCCGGTACGTTGCTCGTGTTCACACCGTCAGAACTCAGCTCCGCTAAGGATCCAGCGTCTGAGACTTGGGCAGCTTACACAACTTTTGTAGTAGAGCACAATGGCACCCTTGGATCAAGTGGATCACTTCATTACTAGACCGTACTAGAGGTCCCCGTTTTCGGCCGCCGCGGCCGGAGAGCACCCCCGTCGCCCCCGGGGGCCCGTCGACTACCCAGGTCGACATTGGCGTGTCTGACTCAGAGGAGGAGTTGGAGGTGCTCCGGCAACCTAACCTGATTCAGAAGCTCGCCGACGTTGTCACTCAACACGTGCGTCATGCGTGACCGAGCTTGAGGGAGGAGCTCCGCTAACGATTTGGCCGGCCACCCAACGCCGCCGCCCATCACTCTTTTCGATGCCTGCCTCAGCCTCAGCCTCTGCCGAAGGCTCGATGGAAGCGCCGGCGGCGGCACCACTCCCTCCGCCCGCCCCACCGCCGCCGCCTCCCAAGGTGCCGTCGGACGTGGCGACGAGGGTACAGCAGTGGGACGCGGCCGCTCCGGTGCCACTTGGGCCGCCTCGCACGCCCTCCTCGGGCAACAATCCGCCAGATGGGAACGATCCGCCCGACATGTGGCTGCCAAAGCCAACGCAGCCTGCCGAAGTCGCCGAGTCGCGGAGAAGCTCCAAGTCCGAGAGAGGGGAGTCGACGGCTTCGTCGGAGGCGCCGACTGGCCCGGGCCCCGCCGCGAGTGCGGTTGAGTTCGAAAAGATGCCGGGCGTGCTCGACGCGAAGATCGAGGCGCACGACATCGACGCGGCGTTGCGGCCTACAAAGATAAGCGTTGGGCCCTTGTGGCTTAAGCGCGAGCAGGTCGGACTGCTCGAGAAACCAAGCACGCGCCGGCTGACCGAAAGCGACCAGACGACGGAGCGGCAGCGAGCATTCGATCTGCTGGACGCGCTCTCCCGGGCCGGTTCTCTCCCGATTGAGTGCGCCAGCCTGCACGTGATGGTAGCTGCCACGCACTGTTTCGACCTCTCGCTCATGGAGACGGTGGTGGCGCGCAACACCAACCCAATCGAGAAGCTGGAGCACTCGAGCCTGCTGCTCGCCGAGGTGGTGCACGCCACGCCTGCAGCGTCGCTCGTGCGCCCCGAGGCTTTTGAGCGTGTCAAAGCGTTTGCGGCGCCGCAACTGCTCGGGGGAATGTCAGTCTGAATGCGGGCGGATTCTAGCCTGGTGCCGTCTCCACTCCCAGCCGACCTCGTGCCATGGGGGGGCGGGATGGGCGATGGCAGGGGCGTGAGGATGGGGATGGCGATGTGGGGAATGGGCTTGGGGGTGGGCGGGGTGCAGGGCTGGAGGGGGGGTCGAGGGGAGGGCAGCGTTACCGCCGAATACTCTACCCCGGCTAAACACGCGGCGCTGGGGACACACAGTGGCTGCTTGCGTTCGTTATTTTCAGAGTAGTCCAGACTTTAGTCAGTGCACCGCTGCGCGCTCGGCGCTGGTCTTCGCGGTAAACCACTTTTTCTCCTTTGAGGCAGACGTGCGCGCGCAAGCCACACTCAACGAAAAGCAGTACAGTATATCCTTCCGCAGTTGTCTACTTGTCTGCCGCTCACAACACCGCCATCGCCGCCCTCCAGCGCGCCATGGCCATGGACGGGGCGGGCTGCCACTGGCTCGCCCCTGCGACGAGGCACTCTACCGACCGCAGCACCGGCGACTCCGCCTCTGCGCCGTCGCAGTCCTCGTCGCCGCCGCACACGTAGAGCGCGCCCTCGAGCACCGCCGCCACCGCGCCTCGGCGGCGGGAGCCTAGGGTGTGAATGTAGCGTCGGAGGGCGCGCGGTGTGCTTGATACAAGGGGCTTGGAGTCCCGCTCGAGTTGCTAGCGAGAAGGCCTGGGCCTGTCTACATCTAGCGGCGGGAGCCCATCGGCGGTCCGTCGCGCCACTCGCCCGTCGCAGGGTCGTAGCACTCGACGGACTGCAGGCAGCCCGAGTCCTACCCACGAACCAGACAGTCACAGAGGAGCCGGTCCCAGCTCGGCGTCCTCAGGCGGCCGGGCTCCTCGTCCCGGCCGCCGCACACGTAGAGAAGCCCGTCGAGCGCTGCGGCGACGGCGCAGCGCCGAGCGCAAAGCATCGGAGGCGCCGCCTCCCACGCGCCCGCCTCGTTCAGCCGCTCCACGGAGCGGAGGCAGCCGCCGACGCGGTCGTTACCTGAGAAGGCAACCGGTGCTCGGCCATCTAGCGAGCTGATTGATGCGGCAGCCGCCGACGCGGTCGTCGCCGCCGCAGACGTACAGCGTGCCATCGAGCACCGCCGCCGCAGCCTCGCAGCGCGCCTCGAGCATCGGCGACACCGCGCTCCACGTGCTCGCGACCGGCTCAAACGCCTCGACAGGGGGGAGGGAAGCATTGGCGCAGAGAGGTGTGAGGAAGCTCCACGTGCTCGCGACCGGCTCGAGCGCCTCGACAGAGCGAAGCCGCTCGTAGTTCTCGTCGACGCCGCCGGCGACCAGCATCCTCCCGCCCAAGACGGCGGCGATGGCGGCGGAGCGTGCGGTGCGCATCGACGGGGCATGCGACCAGACCTGCGCGTGGAGGAGCGAAGGGATGGCCAGGAGCTAGGGAGGCGCATCGACGGGGCGCGCCGACGGGCCTGAGAGGTGATTGGTTGAGAATTGTCAATGAGGAGCCCATTCATCGCGCCGGCGGGGGCAGTGCAGCCAGACCAGCGTCGCCGCGTCGAGGACCTCCACCTCGCGCAGCACGGCTCGCGCCTCGTGGATCCACACGTCAAACCAGTCAGCTATACTTGCGAAGTAGTCGCTACCTCGCGCAGCACGGCTCGCACCTCGTTGCCGTTGCCGCCCGCGACGTAGATGCGGCCGCCCAGCGCCGCCGCCGCGGCCTCCGAGCGCGCGGTCCGCATCGGCGGCGCCGGCAGCCACGCGCGCGCCGCTGGCTCGTACCGCTCCACCGAGCAGAGGCCCGTCTCGCCTCCCTCTTCGTCACAATCCCCTCCGACGCCGCCGATGGCGAAGGCGGAGGCGCCGCGCCCGCGCCCGCCGCCGCTGCTCTCGAGCCGCTCCTGCGCCGCCACCGCCTCCGCCATCCCAGCGGCGGCCGCCTCCTCGATCAGCATCCGGCCGAGGTGGTAGCCGGCCTCGACGCAGCCCGCGCCGAGCGCGCGCTGCAGCAGCTCCTTCGCCTCGGCGCGGTTGCTGGTGCCGGCCGCCCAGACGCCGCGCCGGAGCAGCCACTCCCGCACCTCGTCCTCCGGAAGCGTGTCCGAGTCCACCACCGACAGGACCATCGCCCGCACCGCCGGCAGCGCGACCAGCGCCTTGTTCGGAAGGACGGCGCCCGTGTTCGGCGAGGTGTCGTGCGACGAGAGCCAGCGCGAGACGGCGTCGCGCTCGTAGATGAAGCCGTCCGCGGCCGACACCGGATCCACCAGCAGCGCGTTTGTGATTGGGCAGTGAAGGCTCTCCGCCATGGACGCCACGACCTCCTCGGCCGACGAGCGGCGAGAGAGCGCCGGCGCGCCAAAGACGCCGCCCGACGACGAGCGGCGCCCGCTGTCAGCGAACCGGACCGGCGGCGCGGAGCGGGCTCTGGCCTCGTCCATGTCCGCGTCTCGCCCGCTCCCCGCTCCTGGCGCTGAGCCTGGAAAAGAATTGAGAGAAAACACGACTTCTTATTTACGAAGGACTGGGGCGCGCGAACGGCACCAACAGTTGATTTGAAAAAAGAAAGAAAGAAAACAGACAACCCAAGGGAGGGATGGGAGGACGGCACACCACACAGGGATTTTAAGGAGAGGGGTGTGGTGCGCTAGCCGTCGCCCACCCTAGGGAGTCTGCCTCTTCCTATCTCTTTTCGCAGTCTCTCGCCGCTTCTCGCTGCAACCTTCATGCCACCTCGCGGCCGTCCCACTCTCGTCGTTCTCTCCCTTGTCACTTCCTCCTGTGTCGCGTCATTCTCTTCTGCCTCGTCCGGCGCCGCCGCCTGCCGTTCCCTTGTTCTCTCGGCTTCTTTCGCCTTTCGGCGCAGCTCCGCCCTCCTTGCTGCATATCCTGGCCCCTCGAGTTGATTTGAAGAATAAACTTACAAGCTGTTGGTTTCTTTACATTTTGCCGTGCCGGGCCGCGAGCCGCCGGGGCCGGCAACCCATGAGCGCCCGACTTGACGAGTCCGCCGCGGCGGCTCGAGCTCTGGTGGCTGCTGTCCTCGACCGGGTCGTCCGGGCGCTCGCCACAGACTCACCGCCCACGCCGAGTGACCTCCGCCGGGTCTTTGGGGAGGCTTCGTTCCCCACCGCGGCGATCGACGCCGGCATCGGCGAGTCGGCTGCCCCGCCTTCGCTCACCCAGCTGCGTCAGATCTTTGGCGAGGCTGCCTTTCCCGCCGCCTCTGCGCCGCTCGCCGCTGCAGATGCTCCCGCCGAGGCGGCCAGCGGCCCAGAGGCTCCGAGCTCGGCGGCGCCGCCCGACGAGTCGCGAGGAAGCGGCGCACCCAGCCCGCGAGCCGTCAAGGCGCTCGGCCTCGGCCTGGCTGCCTTTGCCGTCCCGCCGCCGTCACCGCATAAGGCGGCGTCCAAGGCGATGATCGAGGCGGTGGTGTGGGGGGCGGTGTCGCGCTCGACTGACGAGATCGACGACGAGGCGGCGAGCGGAGTCTCGAGCGGCCTCGCCGCGCCTCCGGCCCCGCAGGTCTGCTCTCCCAGATGCCAGATACACACCCCTGCTCCAAGCCTGCACTCGAGAGGACACTCTCGGCAGCATCCGAGGCTGTACTCGCTGCATGCAGCGCCTCCAGCAGGTCCGCCCGGCGCAGCGCGGCTCGGCGGTGTCCCGGATACGTCCATGCCATGTCCGAGACATGTCCACACAGGCGGACCGCGGCTCGGCGGGGCGCGCCACCGCTGCAACTGCTGGCCTGAGGAGCGCAACCTCGGGAGGGAGGGAGACGTCTGGCCAAAGAGAAACCTCGGGCGGCGAGGCGCGGCGGGAGGCGCGGGAGCCCTCCACACCCCGCCTCTCCACACCCCGCCTCTCCACACCCCGCCTCTCCACACCCCGCCTCTCCACACCCCGCCTCTCCACACCCCGCCTCTCCACACCCCGCCTCTCCACACCCCGCCTCTCCACACCCCGCCTCTCCACACCTGCAGGCGCAGGAGCTCTTCGGCGAGCCGCTCGCGATCGGGACGCCCTCGATGATGAGCCAGTTCGCAGGAGCTCCTCCTTTCATCAGGAGAGCCGCTCGTGCTTCGTCAGGACGTCCTCTTCTAACCAATCAGCACGAGTGCATTCACCAATCAGGCGAGTCACTCGTGCTCTTCGTCAAGGACGTCGCGCACCGGACGTCGCTCGCGCGCCCTGCGTCTCCGGTGGCAGAGGTAGCCGAGAGGTAGCCGGGAGGTGGCCGAGAGGTGGCCGAGAGGTAGCCAAGAGGTGGCAGAGAGGTGGCAGAGAGGTGGCCGAGAGACCAGTCTCTTCCCGCTGGGCCAGTGGGCGGCGCCTCTTTACACCTCGAGCTGCGAGCAGGTGCCGCTGCCGCCAGCAGCGCCCGAGGGCGGCGAGGAGGTGGCGGAGGAGGAGGTGGAGGAGGAGGAGAAGAGCCCGCGCGGCGAACCTTCGGCCAACGCGCTTGACCTGCTCGGCTGGTCTTCGGTCGCGCTGGGCGAGGCCCACAAGCCGTTGCCCCCCGCGGTGCCGCCGCCGCCAGCGGGTCCGCCTCCGCCTCCGCACCCCAGCGCAGCTGCAGCAGCGCCTCCGCCTCCGCCTCCGCCTCCGCCCCCGCCTCCGCCTCCACCCCCGCCTCTGCCGGGGCCCGCGATTGCGCCGGCGACCGCAGAGAGGCCGTCGGCCGCCTCTCGCCCCACCAGCCGCCTCTGGATCCCGCGGCTGCGGAGGCTACTCTGGCGCGACTCGGCAGTTAAGGACTCGGCAGCGGCGCACTCGCCGCCCGGCGGCTGCAGTGCCTGCTCTGAACGGCGTCTCTTCACACGGACTGGCGGTGTGAACAGGCGCCGTCGCCGCCCGAGCCGCGAGGGCCGCCCCGGGCGCAGTGCTACCTTGTGTACGCGCCCACTGACGGCGGGTCCCTCTTTCTGATGTGGTCGCTCAAGCCCGTCAAAGGCGCGGCCGGCGTGCGTGTCCTGGCCGGCGAGCTGTGGAGACACGAGGGCGGCGCCGCGAATAGGCGCGCTCGCGACGTGCGTGCCGGAGCTGCCTCCTGGCAAGGGGCTGCCTGGCCGGTGTGGGCGACGGAGAGAGGGCCGGAGATGCGCCGAGCCTGACCGAGACGGGCCGAGAGTAGGTGTGAGCTCGCGAGGGAGATCAGCCTCGGCCGCAAGTACTACGAGGGGTGCGACGAGCTGCTCGAGGCGGTGGCGTCCCCGCGCCCCTTTCTCCACCCGGCCCCCCGCCCCTCTTGCGTACCCCGCGTAGGTGGAGGGAGTTCCTCAAGGCGGCGGCCAACGTGCACGGCCAGATCTCGCTGCTGGCCGGCCCCGCAAAGGGCCCGGGCCAGGTGGACGTCTTCTTGCTGTCCAAGGCCTTCTCCGTCAGCCGGCTGGCGGAGGCGGCCTCGCTCTCCGGCGTGCGCAGCGCGGCGGTGGTCCCGCCAGAGGGCATGGCCGGCCGGCAGCTTTCTTTTGGCGCGCACGGCTTTCTTTTTTATAGGTGGTCCCCGCGGGGGGGCAGGGCCTGCCGTGCTGCGAGAGCATGGGCCCCGCGGAGTTCCGCGAGTCGGCTTGGAAGGCGGGCGGGCTCTCGTTTGAGTTTTGAGACGCGGGCAAGGCAACAGACACAGCGACACCGCGGGAGCGGGGGCGCCCCGCGTCGTGTGCCCGTTGGCAGAGCACTGCTTGTCACTCTAAGAGTCGTCTTGTATGGAGAGTGCGGCAGCTGGTCTAGACTCACCAGACACCGCTTCGGACCCGGGCGAGAGCCGAGAGCGCGTTGGCGTGAGCTAGCACGGCGTCCCCGATGACATTGACTGCGCACAATTGTAGTCCTCCTCTCGGTGTTACACCGCATTAACACGCCCCCTGCCCTGACACGGGCCAAGATGCAGGCCGAGCTGCGCGCGCAGCTTGACGCGCAGCAGATTTCGATGGAGGCAGAGGCGAGGCGCGCTGATGCCGCAAAGGCCCGAGAGGTCAAGGGCTGTGTACACGAACAGCAAGATGGAGGGGATTTATGCACACACGTGAGGGGTTGATACTGTCGTACGGTCGTCGACCCTCCCACTGTTGGCCTCCCGGTCCGCCGGAGATCTGCCGCGCGTGCCGCGCGCACAGACGAGACAGCATTGCGCGAGCATTGGAGAGGCCAGCCTCCGGCTTCTCAGCGACAGCGTGTCGCGAGTGCTGTGTCTCTGCCTGCCTGGTGCTGGGTGCGGTGGGGGTGTCTCTGGTGTAAATGTGTTACACATTTACGGATTTACGGATTTACGGATCCACCCCCCTCCCTACCTCCCCGTCCCGCGGCCCGGCCGTGAGACGCCGATCCGGGAATCAAGTTGGTGCCGGAGTGACCAGTGCGGAAACGGGGCTCCGGCTCTACTAGTCTCTACTAGTCTCTACTAGCACCGACTTCCCGATTAATCACGGTTAATCAGAGGGCAGATTTGGAGGAGTACATACAGATAGACCCTCCAACCATCAGAAAACTCCAACCTGATCGGTCGTGCTGACCGCCGACAGATCACTCCAGACAGCAGACGGGCCGACGTCTGCACGCGACCGGCCGGGCGAGAGGCTTGACACGATCCGACCCTGCGACCCCGACGCTGCTGCTTAAGCTATCAGACATGCACTGCTGACTGCTGCCACAATGTGCGACCGGTGCTGGCCCACTTGGCGGCCTTCCCCGGTCAGCGGTGAGGCGCAGTTCAGAGCTGTCGATGGCGCGATGCCGCACTGGTCCCACGGCGACGCGCATTGCGCCAGAAGCGTGCACACGTTGGAAGGACACCTTCCTACTGGCCGTACGATCAGGTCGTCACTGAATGCTTGATACTAAGGCCGCGAGCTATGCAGGTGATCAATTGTGCAGCATGGCACGGTCAGCAGCGCCGACAGGCTGTCGCAAGGCGTGATAGCCTGGTGATAGCATGGCCGCAAGTACGCCGAATTCCCATGAAAACAAGTCAAATTTCGCGAAAAGAAAAATACCGGCGCCTGCGTGCGGCGGGCCATCGGACCCCATCTCCCCCCCGCATGGATACCCTCTAGGGCCCCCGCGCCCCCCCAGAGGCGCTCACAGAGCAGTCACAGAGCCCCTGGCGTTTTACACACACCAACGGCCCTGCTCGGCGCACACTCCTTGGGCGCACAGCCGCACACACGGATCACGGATCGGTGGCTGTGTTGGGCGGCTTGAGGACTCCGCTCCGGCGTGTGTGTGTGTGTGTGTGTGTGTGTGTGTGTGTGTGTGTGTGTGTGTGTGTGTGTGCGTGTGTGTGTGTGTGTGTGTGTGTGTGTGTGTGTGTGTGTGTGTGTGTGTGTGTGTGTGTGTGTGTGTGTGTGTGTGTGTGTGTGTGTGTGTGTGCGTGTGTGTGTGTGGGGGGGGGGGGGTGGTGGTGGTGGTGTGTGTGTGTGTGTGTGTGTGTGTGTGTGTGTGTGTGTGTGTGTGTGTGTGTGTGTGTGTGTGTGTGTGGTCTCTCTCTCTCTCTCTCTCTCTCTCTCTCTCTCTCTCTCTCTCTCTGTGTGTGTGTGTGTGTGTGTGTGTGTGTGTGTGTGTGTGTGCCGATCCCCGATATATCGCATATTGCGCTTCGGAACGGGCTTTTGCCCTCTCTCGTCTTTTCGCACAGCGGGGAGACGATTCTCAGAATATCATTAATCATATAGGCTGGCGCTGTTGAAAACTCAGGTCTGCATGGCGTGCTGTCAGAAAAAAATCGCCTCCGCGCAGGTGGGGCCCCTGTCCTCCTCCTCTTCCCTCGTTTGGCGTGTCTGTTTTCTTCCTTTCTTTCTGCCCGAGGGTGACAAGCCAAGGGAGGGATGGGTGGAGGTGCTGAGGGCTAGGGTAACCAAACTCCGACGGTAAAAGAATGAAAGAAAACTAACAACGCAAGGGAGGGATGGGAGGACGGCACGCCCTCCGAGCGGGGCGGGGTCTGCCCGTCGGGTTGCTGCCCTAATCCCACTAGGGGTTGTCTGCTCTATTTATTAGGACGGCACGCCGCCACCACACAGGGATTTTAAGGAGTGTGGTGTTAGCCCTCGCCCACCCTAACCCTTCATGGTCGTCTGAATCACGTCTCGCATGGTTGGAGGTGCACATGCGTATTCCACAGCCGAGCTTACTCCACACACTAAAATATGTGACACACACAGCGCATCCTGATATCTCATACTCCACACACTCTCGGCGCCGCACTCAGCGTCACAACGCCCGGCGGCCCGTCTCCCTGTCAGATCAGCGTCAGATCCCGTCCCCGCGCACTCTCCGCAACGACTTTTACCGCACAACTCAATCGTACAGTACTCGGAGGCGCACTCTGCCAGCAGCTCTGATAATTCACCTCGGTCCAGCACACGCAATGTCCAATAGCGACTTTGGTACGTAAGAGGCACCGATGGAGACCAGCTGCGCATAGTCAGAGCGCTTCAGGCAGCGAATGCGAAGGTGGATCGGCTTCGCGGCTCCAGCACGCCGAATCGTGCAGCGCAGCTCGTATCGTTCCGCACTCACTGATCTGCAGTCCAGCACCGAGCCCTCGGCAAAGCCCGACACGTCTATGTGGTCGCCATCTCTGTGGAGTGTGCAGGGCCGGTAGAAGAGGCCAGTCGACGTCTTTGCAAACACTCTGATGGCCTCTTGCACGTCCACGTGGCTGCAGCCCAGAGACATGCTTTCGTCGGGGTGCACGATGACAAACGCCATTGCTGGATGACGGGCTTGAGCGCTCTTGTGACGGCACACCCGCCTCGCCCACGTTGTTTTGGATCTGCGAGGGCGCAGGCGGCGGCGGTCGAGCGTCAGCAGCAGCACGAGCGCGCTGCAGCGCTTGAGATATCGGGCGAATCGGCTGGGCACGCTCGCGCATGGGCCAACACGCGCCGCATCGCGCGGGGCGAGGGGAGGAGGCGAAGGGGCAGCGCAGCATTCCTCAGATTGCGTTTCGGTGAACACGAAACAGGATCTCGGCGGTTTAGTGATCACAAATTAGCGATTCCATTACGCCTTTTTGTTGGCGCACTGGCAGTGCTGGCGAAGAAGCCGAACGGCGGCAAAGGCGACGCGCTCGGGGCGTCTCATAACCCTCGCGTGGCTCGGCTTGAGCAGGGCGAGGGCGAAGGTCCGCCTGCCTGCCTGCAGACGCTCAAGGGCAAACGGGAAAATGTAATTTATCACCGCTGGTACTCTCTGCGCCCGTTCCCTTTTTCTTGCGGGTGGGGACCTGTCGTTTTCCCATCCCTCATTTGGCCTCGGCCTTTCCTTTCTCTTTCCTTCTCGCGTGTGCGAACGCCTCTTCTTCTTGTGTACTGTTGCGCTGTTGCACTGTGGGGTGGGCTCGAGTCCGCATGGCACGGGACGGCCCTCGATCGTCTCGCCCTCCCTCACTGGTGTGTTCCAGGGGGGGGGGGGGGGGTCATAACAAACTCGCCACGGCCGAAGACTCGCGAACTCGCCACGGCCGATGCGGCCTAGCAAACTAAAGGCGCGAACGCGCAGGCTCCTGTTCAAAGCTGGCAGCAGCAGCCAGCACAACCACAAGCGATGTAAAACAATCGTTCAGAGTTCATGAAAGTCGACTGTAGACACTCTGCAGACAGGTCGAGATCACAAGCCACAATAACCAAGGCAGCGAAAGCCTCCCCATAAATGCATGCCGAGCTCAAAAACCCGTGAGGGGTGTTACATCGTGGCAACAGCGACCAGCTGGAGCGGCCGCACACACTGCTCGGTACCCCCCCCTGCACACCTAAGCCCATGGCCGCCCCCCCCCCCCCCCAGGGACGGGGGCTTAGAAGTGCAGGGGGGGTACCGAGCAATGTGCGGCCGCTCCTGCTCCCTCTGAGGACTGAGCCGTCTGTGAACAGACAGCCGAACTTGTACTTGTACTTGTGATGTGGGACACCCTCGGAATCCAACTGCGTACTACTTGGCTAGCACGCTATTGGCGCATGCCGACGGCTAAGGCCGAAATCGTTATTGTTCACATAATCGTTATTGTTCACACCTCTTGCAGGTGTGAACACACAAAGGATTTGCTGTATCTACTCAGCTGCTCCAAGTATACTTACCTGTGAAGCGTGAACAGCGTCTTGGGTCCGGGGTTGTGTTTTGGTGTGAAATCAATTGAGTTGTCACTCCTGCATTGCATTGAGAGAGAGATGTTGCATTGAAGAGGGGTTCAACTATCAAAACAGGAATCGAGGGTGTCAGCTCGTCTAGCTTGCATGCTGCCATCTGTCCCGATCGTGACCAACCAAAGCCCCCCTCTTCGTAGACCCCGTTCTGAGGGGTCCTGAATCGTACACCGCTCCCAGCCGTGCTCGCCGAGCATCAGCCGCCGCCGCCGCCGACGTGCCGACAACTCCTGAGAAGGCAGGCGTCAACTGTCGAGGACGGAGAGCATTGCTAGAAATCGCACCAAGCTCTGACGAGCGGGAGCTCGGTCAGGGGTGGTAAAGAGATGTAGGAGCTTCCATAGGTCGCTTCTTTTCTTATCAATCTATCTGTGAACAGCGGCCCGGGCCATGGTGGTGGCTGTCGCACACCTCTTCCGCCACGGGCAACGCTCGCCGTACCCGCCGCCGCTGAGCGAGTCCGCCGCCGGGCCGAGCATATGGACGTCGCGGCTGAGCCCGCCTGCTGAGTCGTGGAACTTGACGGCGTCTGCCTTTGACGCGCAGCATCTGACACCGCATGGCGCAGCGCTGCTCCGACACCTGGGCCAATACTTGGCGGTCGACTATCGCTACCCCGACCCGTGCGCGGCAGACGTGACGCTGATCGCCGACGGCACCTCCTTCCGGGACGTCCAGTCAGCTAGGGCCTTTGCCGGTGGCTTCTTTGGCCGCCGCTCGTGCTCGGCCGCGCGGGCCGCTGCAATCGTGGAGGCGACGGCAGCAGCGCAGCCGCTGCTGCTTCCCCTCGTCTCGGACGACGTCGAGGTCGGCTGCGCCGGGCCTAGCGAGGCCGACGTGCTCCGGTCCTTTGGGGGCGACGTAGGTATGCACAGCACCTGCCAGCATTTCCAGCCTCGCCGCAGCGCGCCGCCCCTGTCGACTTACTTCGTTGTGGCTGAGTAGACGCGCTGGCGGCGGCGTACAAGCCTCAGATCGACCGCGTCGGATCATTGCTCGGCTGCTGCTCCGCTGAGGTGGGCAGACACAGCCTCACACACACACACACACACACACACACACACACACACACACACACACACACACACACACACACACACACACACACACACACACACACACACACACACACACACACACACACACACACACACACACGAAGATCTCGCCGTGTACCCTCCAACCTGAGCATCGGTTGTAGGTGTGCGATCGGCACGGGCTGGGACGGCGCAACTGCTCGCTCTCCGACCTCCCCCACACCTTCCATCCGGGCCGCTACTACTCCTACTTCGACGGCGAGGCCTTCCGTCCGAGCGACTGCTGAACGGTGCACCTTTTTGGGCAGAGCGCGAGAGGCGTGCGAACAGGCGCCCTCTCCATCGCCGGGTACTACGCCGACGCGTGGATGCTGCAGGCGGATAACATAGACAGAGAGGCGAACGCGCATGAATGCAGCCCGTCAGGCCACCACTCTTTCAGAGGCCGTATCTCAGCGCGGTGTGAGGGCAGGCAAACCAGAGAAGCCACCCCACTACTCTAGCAAACACACACATACAGGTCCGCACGGGCAACGCGGCTGCCGCCGCCTGACCTGTCGTCACACATCCTGTGCTGCCGACATAGGCGGTCTCTGGCGTGGAGCCGTTTGCGTGGGGCGAGCTGACGCTGTCCGAGCTCTCGGAGCTGTACCGCGTGCACCAGCGGGTCATGTGGCTCGGCGCGTCTCTCAACGCGTCTCGCGGCGCCGCGCGCCGCCTCGCACACGCTCTCTGCTCTTCTGATAGCTGATGCTCACGTCCCCTCGTCGTGTGTTTACATCAGGCCGCGCCTCGCACGCTCTCGCCTCTCTCCTCGCCTCATTTGAGCAGGTGTGTGGTGTTGGGGGGCAGGACGACGCACCTGGCGGGAGGTGAGTGAGTCGTACGGTCGTTACGGTACTTAGGTTGTGCGTGGGGAGCCGCAGGCGGGGGCCGCTGCGCCGCAGTGGCGTGCCCCCGCGGGAATCGTGGCTGGCAGCCCCGTGGCGTCCACAGACTGCAAGACCACAAATTGCGACCGGCCGGGAGAACGGCCGAGCGACGACATGCCGCTCACGCTCGCCCTCTTCGCCCACGACTTCAATCTCCTCTTTTGGAGGCAGCTGCTGCGACTGCACTGGGTGGTTGACTCGTGGCAACTCGACGCGGCATCCACCGGCTCGCAGCCTCTCCTCGGAGCTGGGAGAGAGCTTCCTTCATGATGAACCACTTGATTGCGCACCATTGACATTACAGGCTCCTTCCTCTCCTTTGAGCTGAGGTACGATGCGCCCACCTCCGTCGCCCCCGACCCCGACGGCGGGTGGCGTGTCGTCGGCTTCTTCACGGCGGCGACGGTGCTGCAGCAGCGCCGGAGGACCCCGCTCGTGCCACCTCATCCGCCGCCGGGGCGAGCGACGGCGACCGACCCCCCTGCTTGACACATGGATGCATTCTTCACTTGCTCTCACCTGCCACCGAGTACATTGTGACACACTCTTCAGGTGCTCGACGTGCCCTACTCACAGTTCCGCGACCTCGTGCTCGCTGCCGTTGACCCGCGCTGCGTCTTGCAGCCGCTGCGCGACACAACCGCGCGCTTGCGGGACCGCGCGCCGCCGCCGTCCTCCCCGCTCGACAGCACCCCCGCCGTACTCGCGGCAGCCGTCGTCGGTTTCGCTTGCTCTCTGTGCGGCGTCCTCATGGTTCGAGTTAGCCGTCCTTACCTCCAGATGCCTTGACGCTTGATTTGACAAAGTGCGGGGCCGCCGGGAGGGGCGCAGCGTTCGTAGCTCAACACACAACAGTGCAGTTGGCGCTGCTGAGGACTCTTTACTTAGCAGGGCACGTACGGCTTTAGAGTAGTGAAACTGAAACATGAGGAGGTTGTGCTCTTTAATCTTGGAGCAGAGCACACCTTGGTGCGCCGGAGGCCGGGGCGGGAGTCACCCAGAGAGTCACCAGTCCCCAGTCGCCAGTGGCCAGTCGAGTGCGATCCGTTTAAACGGTAATATTATACCCCATCTCCCCCGAAAGTTATTTAGTACGACCCCGTACTGCGGCCCAGCACGTGCTCCGCAGCTGAGCCCACGCATCCCACAGTAGGGACACAATAAGCTCGCATTACTGTGCCGTACGGAAGTGTGAACAGGTTGGAGCAGCAGCTCCTGAGCACACGGCGCCGCAGGCGCCTGTTGATAGGTCCAGGTGATAGTCCTGGATGGGCAATACATACGCCTCACTGGGCCTTAGATCGCCCGACCGCGTCCCGGTGCTCTGTGGTCGGATTTGTGACGCCGCCGCACCGCGCCGCGGCCGGGGGCCCTCCGGAGGCCGAGGATGGCCGTGGCGGACCAGGACGAGCTCTGGGAGGTTCAGTGTCAGTGATTTATTGTAGAGACAGACCATGTGCACAATATCTCTCAGTCTAGCTAAGCCAGAGAAGGCGATGCCGGGGATGTACAGCAGCTTGATGGTGCTGCGCCGGCATGCGTCCCCGGTGGACCCCATCCGAGGCGATTGCGAGGGCATTCCGGAGGTCATCATCGGCGCCAACGACCGTGATATGTCCCGTCTCGCAGCTCTCGTGCACCAGGGTCACGAGTGCAGTCATAATATGCAGGCCTTCTCTCCCACAGTTTTGAGCAATAGCCGCAAACATCGCTTTTTGGGGCACGCTCGTGTGCCATCGTGACAAGGTCACCCGCGGACTCTTCAGCCTCTCAGCTCGCCAGCTCGCCTTCTCTGTCGCTCTCCTGGCCCAGGCCCATCAGGATCAAGCCTGGGCTGTCCCAGACCGTCCTTACTTTGGGTGATGAAGCTCACTCTGGCTCATACCACGGCTCTTGCAGCCTCTACACACACGCCTGTTTCACCCACAGACACCGCCGGCACGCACTCCCACTTCACACATGCTCAAGCACAACCCCACCAAAGCACAGCCCTGCTCAGAATGGGCAAGGACCACCACTTGGTGACCCAGGCCGCCCCTGGCTCGCCACTGCACTCGGCTCCTCTGCAGCGGTCTCGGGCTCTCCCCTATGAGCACGGCGAACTACGCGCGAGTATGCGCCTGTAAAAATTTACACTGTAATACAGCCTGTATGGATAGACACTGTGGTACGAGAGAGTATGTACTTGCCATGGATATGCCACGGTACTTGCACTTGCACATGGGGTGACATGCACATGCACATGCACCATGTATGTATGTGCATGTGTGCATGTGCGCGCGGCCGGGGTGTTGCGGCCTCCTTTTTTGTAGGGCGCGTTATACGTAGTACATATCAGTCAGCAAAAATATATCATGTAGTATACTCAACGAGTACGAGATACTGTGTCTCCACGCCCGCGTATTGGCTATATTGCAACCCGCACGTGTACGTGTTCTCCCTCTAGGGGCTGATAGAGCTGGGACCTACGCCGCGCCGGGAAAGGGGCGCGCCCGGTCCTCGACGGAGCCGCGCGCCCCAAACGACCCGGGCGGCGAGTAGTCGACCTCGAACCTTCAAGCTGTAGTTTCTTTCCTCCCCGGGGCTGCTTCGAGTTTTCTCGGCGAAGACAGAATTTGCATCAGAGCAGTATCAGACACAAGCCCGCTACGACCGGCCGTGCCCCGAGGAGCGGCGGGGCGGGCCGCGGATGGCGCTGGTGGCGACGCCCAACCCGGAGAACAAGCTCTTCATCGGGGGTGCGCGCCCCAGCTCGCGTAGACTAGCCTTGCGGCCACAGAGGCCGGCGTCAGCCTATCTCCCGGCTAGAGTTGGTGCATGGTTGGTCTCTTTCACCAAGCGCCCACGCACTTGCACCGCCCGCGCGTGGCCGCACTTGCCACAGATCCCCACCCCACACGGCCGCCGGCATGGGCATACGGCTGCTGCCTCGAGTCTGCTGCACGCCGCGCACAAAAAGGGCGGCGGCAGCGTGAGGGAGACTGGGCCTAAGTCGGACGCTCCGTGGATTAAGGCTCCCACTGCGTCCCCACGCCACAGGTGCGCCTCCGGGTACTGACGAGGAGACCCTGAAGGAGGTGAATCTCGCGCCCTGCCGCCGCACACCAGCTCCAAAGCCACCGCACCGTGGCTGGCGGGAGCGAGACCTGTCCAACGCGACACCTCTCCCACGCCCGCGCGGCGCGTTTCTCACCCCCGGGCCGCCTGGCGCCGCGTCGCAGATCTTTGCGGAGCACGGTGAGGTCGAGGAGGTCTTCGTCATGCGTGGCGGCTCCCGCTCAGGGCAGGCGAGCCAACCTTTCCCCCCCTCCACCCCGGCCCTTCGGGGGGCGCAGCGGTGGCGGCTCCGGCACTGAGACTTGGGCGGGTGGGAGGGTGGAGGACCGGTGGAGGCGGCGGCGGAGGGAGTCCGCCGGTGTAGCGCGCGGGGGGCGCAGAGACGCGCGGCGCTCCTCTCCCTCCTGCGGTGTGGTCCGCCTCTCCCCCGTCCTTCCCCTCCTCCTCCGCTCCCTCCTCCTGGGTCCCGCCCTTCTCCCTCTCACATCGGCAGAGGATGTGCGGATAGAGCGCCTGCCGTAAGAGCCACTCCTCACCGCCGGAGGCAGACCCGGGTCCAGCAGCGGGGGGGACCCCCCCCGGCACGCCCCCCTACCCCACCCGGGGGCCCACTGCCCCCCCCCCCCCCCCACCATCCGCTCGCCCGTTTTACCCCCCCCTCCCGCACCAGCCACCCCTCCCCTCTCTCCCTCCCCGTCAGGCGTGCGCCTTCATCCGATTCGCGACTGCGGAGGGCGCGATTGCTGCGATTCAGGCGCCGCAAGCCCCCGCACCGTCGCCCCATCCCGCACTCAACGCGGCGCCCAGCCGCACATCAGCCGCACATCAGCCGCACCCCTGTCGCAAGTCAACGCTAAAGATGGGACGCCGCAGACCTCACCCGCCCGCCTCCTCGCCCGCCTCCCGGCCCCCTTTTTCCGTGGGGGGCCTGCAGCCTCCTCACACGCCCCTTGACCCCCCCCCCCCCCCTCCTCCCCCCCCCCATCCCCTCTCTTGCAGGCCATACACGGCAAGTACGTCATGCCGGGCTGCTCGGACCCGCTCGTCGTCCGGTACGCAGACGCGCCAGGCTCGCGCGTCAAGAAGGGGCCGGCGAGAGGGGGCGCGGCCGGCGGCTGTGGAGGCGTCCCCGGCGGCTTCGGCTACCCGATGGGCGGCGGCTTCAGCGGCGGAGGCTACAGCAGCGGCGGCGGCTGCTACGGCGGTCCGTCTGCAGGAGGCGGCGGCTGCTACGGCGGCGGCGGCCTGTCTGGCTGCGGCAGCATGAGCGGCTTCGGAGGGCCTCTTGGGTACGGGGCGGGAGGCAGCGGCGGCGGGTGCTGCACGGGCAACGCGATGGGCGGGGGGGGATGCTGCGCTGGAAGCTGCGGTGGTCCGATGGGAGGTGCGAGGGGGCGAGAGATGCCGGACAGGAGACGGAGGACTCCCTGCCACTGCCAGCGCAGCGCTTCAGAAGAGACGCGATGTGCTGTGCTCAGCTGCATTGCGCGCTCCATCCGCAGCCCTCGCCTCCACGCGACGCTTCACGAGACCGTGGCTCCCCCCCTCAGCCCGTGTGCCGATGCGGTCAGGCGTGGGCGGCATGGGCGCAGGGTGTGGGATGGGCGCGATGGGCGGCGGAGGCATGGGCGGCATGGGCGGCATGGGCGCTGGTTGCGGGATGGGAGGCATGGGCGGCGGTGCGGGCAGCCCACCCACCCACCCGCCACCCGCCACCACCACCACCCGCCCCTCCCACCCGCCCCACGGATGCACTCCCCCCTCCACTCGGCTTCGAGCCCCTCTTCTCCATGTCCTTGCCCCTCTCCTCCCTCCCCCTCCCACACCACCCAAAGACACGCCTGGGGGAGGGGCGGGTTGGGGCAGCCCCGAATGGGCGCGCGACCTCACTTGCCGCCTCGCTGCCCACAAGGCTGCGGCGGCGGCGGCTGCGGCGTCGGCGGCTGCTATGGCGGTATGGGCGGCGCTGGGATGATGGCGGGCTGCGGCGGCATGGGCGCCGGCGGGTGCTGTGCGGGGCAGTGCTGCGGCCACGCGCAGTGCGGGATGGGCGGGGGCGGTGGCATGGGAGCCGGCGCCGGCGGCAAGAGGGGCGGCGGCCCGGCGGCGGTCAGCCGAGATGAGCCGAGGTGTGCTGGAGTGTAGGCGGAGGAGCGATGATGGGGATGGGCGGCGGAGGCGGCGGAGGCCTCGGCGGCGGAGGCTGGGGAGGCGGCGGGTCAGGCGGCGGAGGCGGCGGGTTTGGAGGCGGCGGCGGCGGGTCTTCGTACATGGGCGGCGGTCCGATGCAGGGCGGCGGCGGCGGGTGGGGCCAGGGCGGGTCGTGCCCCGGCCAGACCATGTGTGGCTCTGGCGCGGGAGGCATGAGGGGCATGAGCGGGCAGGTGGCTTCTCCGCCTCCCCTTCCCGTCTCCTCCTTCTCTGCTGCGGCCGCCTCGAGGAGGGACAGGGCGACGCCGCGCCGGGCGCAGAGCAGCCGCGCGCGCGTCAGCCAATGCGACGGCCAGC